ATAGAGTTATTCTGTGGAGTAAGTCTGATGGGTGTTCATGACTATGAAGGTATTTACACCGATCAGGCATGACATTATGAGCACCTCCTTGTTTCTACGCTCATTGTCCATTTTATCAGCTCCACTTACTATATAGGTGCACTTTGTAGTTCTACAGTTACAGACTGTAGTCCATCTGTTTCTCTGATACTTTGTTAGCCCCCTTTTACCCTGTTCTTCAGTGGTCAGGACCCCCATGGACCCTCACAGAGCAGGTACTATTTGGGTGGTGGATCATTCTCAGCACTGCAGTAATACTGACGTGGTGGTGGTGGTGGTGGTGTGTTAGTGTGTGCTGTGCTGGTCTGAGTGGATCAGACACAGCAGTGCTGCTGGAGTTTTTAAACACCTCAGTGTCACTGCTGGACTGAGAATAGTCCACCAACCAAAAACATTCAGCCAACCAGCGTCCTGTGACCACTGATGAAGGACTAGAGGATGACCAACACAAACTGTGCAGCAGCAGATGAGCTATCGTCTCTGACTTAACATCTACAAGGGGGACTGACAAGGTAGGAGAGTCTAATAGAGTGGACAGTGAGTGGACACAGTGTGTAAAAACTCCAGCAGCACTGATCCACTCGTACCAGCACAACACACACTAACACACCACCACCACATCAGTGTGACTGCAGCACTGTGTTACTGCATATATATGTGTGTGTTATATTTATTTATTAGTATATTTATTTATTTATTCTAATGTTTTGAGAGGCTTGTCAGTGTTAGCTATGTTTTGATGATATTTCATTGCAATGCCAACTTCCTTAACAAACCATATTATTTTTCGGACAGTGTTTGGCAACCTTGCTGCTTATTTGCATGTGCCTGTTTAACCAATGCAAACGAGGCCATCACATACAATCAACTACTGGTTCTTGAACAATGAGCCACAATTGATTTTTGCCATAAATCTGTGAGCATGAGTTTAACAAACTACATTTTAAAACAAAACTGTCATTTGAGGATAGGAGCAGTGAAGGTGCTCTTTGCTGCGAGGTTTATTTCGAAGCAAGGCACTGAGTGGTTATACGGAAACAGTGCAACAGAGTGGGTTATTTGGCTCAAACAGTGCAAGGACAGAAACAAAGGAAAAATCTACCTGATATTTGGCAGCAAAGTAACAGTAGATTGCTATTGTCTTGCTAACATTTCTATAGTTATTTACTTGCTAATGCTGTATATAGAGACATATACTACTAGATCTACACTCCCCAAACACTTTATTAAAAACATCTGTGCACCTTTACACTCATTCATACAATTATCTAAATCAGCCAGTTGTGCATAGAATTATGCAGATTCGGGCAGCAGCTTCAGGTAATGTTCACATCAACCATCAGAATGGGGGACAAATGTGATTTTAGTTATTTTGTCCGCAGCATGATTGTTTGTCTCAGACCAGGCTGGTTTGAGTATTTCTGTAACTGCTGATCTCCTGGGATTTTTATTATGCACAGCAGTCTCTAGAGTGACTCAGAATGGATCAATAAAGAAAAAAACATTCAGTGAGCGGCAGTTCTGCGAACAGAAATGCCTTGTTGATGAAAGGGGTCAGCAGAGAACAGACAGACTGGTTCAAGCTGACAGAAAGGCTACGGTAACTCGAGAACCACTCTGTACAATCATAGGAGAAAAGCATCTAAGAATGCACAACACGTCGAACTTTGAGGTGGATGGGCTACAACAGCAGAAGAGCACATCATGTTCCATTTCTGCCAGCCAAGAACAGAAAGCTGAGGCTGCGATGGACACAGGCTCACCAAAACTGGACAGTTGAAGACTGGAAAAGCATAGCCTGGTCTGATGGATCTCGATTTCCGTTGAGGCTTACAGATGGTGAGGTCAGAATTTGACTGCAACAAAATGAATTCATTGTATTGCAGCAGAAAAGTGAAGCTGAAAAATCTGTTAACATGATTCTGCTTCGATCGGGTGCCACTGCTCGCCAGCCCTCTGGACCGGGTTACCAACATTGAGCCTCCTGCTGTACAACGCCGTGCAAACCTCACCCTCACAACCTGACCCCACTGATGCTGACCCCACTGACCTCACCCTCAGAACCTGACCCCACTGATACTGACCCCACTGATACTACTGCTGTTGCTACATGAACTATTCAAAATTATTCACTTGAACCAATCAATCATTCAAACTAATTCAAATTAATCAATCACCCATTGACTGTGTTTTTCCTCTCTTTCTTTTGCCGAGTTGAACAGCTGCCCATCCTGCTGCTGATGCTGCTGCCTCTGCTGCCTTGATCGGGTGCCACTGCTCACCGTGCAAACCTCACCCCCACAACCTGACCCCACTGATGCTGCTGCTGCAGCATGAACTGAACTATTCAAATTAATTGTTTCCTTCACGTTTTACCCTGTTTTTGTACTATAATACTTTATGCTAACAATGTTTGCTATCCGGTGTCGACCAGAGGAGGATGGGTTCCCCTTCTGAGTCTTGGTTCCTCTCAAGGTTTCTTCCTGTTTCTCTTAGGGAGTTTTTCCTTGCCACTGTCACCACTGGCGACGCTCATGAGGGCTTGGACCCAGATTTCTTTCTGTAATGCTGATTTCCTTGTAAAGCTGCTTTGTGACAACACCTGTTGTAAAAAGCGCTATATAAATAAACTTTACTTACTTGCTTACTTACTACTTACTATGAACCACAATCTCAAATAATTTTTTCCAACATTTTGTTAAATCAAAGCCATGAAGAATTCAGGCTGTTTTAAAAGCAACAGGAGGCCCCACCTAGCATTAGTAATTAGTATAGTGTTCCTAGAGCTCGGTGAGTGTTGTGGGGCACTTGTGAGCTGGTGGGGTCATAAAGCATGGAGACAGGAGCCAGGTGGTAGGGACCAAAAAAAAGGAAACCCAACTGGACGATTTATTTACAGGTTCAACAACAAGGGGATAAAGTATTTGGTAGAGAGGAAGGAAACAAGGAAAAAGGTACCTTTGAAAGATGGTCAAGGAAGACAGCAGGGAGGTCTTAATGGGGAGGCATTGGGAGAAAAATAGCAAAGTACATCCAACCTTCTCTGTTGAGTGGTCCTTAGTTGTCCTGAGAGGCAGAGAGAGAGAGCAGAGGGAGAACAAAACACAGAAGCCACAAGGGAGGAGCACAGGCTTAGGAACATTCTCAATCACCCATCTGTGAGGTGAGGTGGCATTTTATAGATGCCAAAGGCTGCAGTGTGATTGGAAACCAGTGTGAGCCATCAGATGCTGCTAGCCATGGCCACTGAGTCCGCCCTGCTTTTAGGCTACACTGTTTTTGCTGTCCAGAAAAAAGTGGTGCTGAACTTGGTGGGTCAGTGTTTCTCAGCACTTCGGACAACGATATGCTGACTGGTGCGTTGGCAGTTTAATGTAGTCCCAAGGCAGTGGGCCTGCACTGTGAGATAAACTCCGCCTGGTCTGAAACACGATCAGGAGGCCAAAAATCTGAGTCTGCGCCCCTCACACACGACTCGACTCTCTCTCCAACTGTGAACTCCAATTGACCCGAAAATCTGCAGACTAGAGCCGACCAGCTCAGACTCAGACTGAGAATCGGGGCTAAAACAGGGGTAAAAAGTCATGCAGTGTAACCCCGGCTTTAATGGCATATTAAAAATTCTAGGTAGAAAGCACTGTTCACAAAGAGTTTCTCTTTTTGTCTAAAATCTTACTTTTTTAGGAGTTGTTGAATGTTTTTCATAATGGGACATTTGTTGCTTAAATCTTCATTTGATGGAACAAATTTGTCACTTCTAACAGACACGAACTCTGTCCAAAAACCCAAACACTTAACTAGTGTTAGCTGGCTAATGTTAAACGGTATTGCCATAAAGAATTTCTGTATTGTGCAGGTACCAACAAAGTGATGGTAACTATCATCTTGCTAATGTTTATTGAAAGAATTACTGGCTAGATATGTTAGCTAGCTAGCTATTACTTGAGGTGTAGTGTTGAGCTAACATTAGTAACAGCTGTATTGACATGACGAATTTCGGTATCTTGCATTCAGCAGCAAAGTGACAAGAAACTAGTTATTAACTTAATAACATTTATCTGATAAGTTACTAGCTAGGTGTGCTAACTAGCTTTCTAGCTAGTAAATACAATGCAGTTTTTAGCTGACATTAGTTGGGTAACCATGAACTGTATTGCCATAAATAATTTCCATATTTTGCAGTCGGCAGCAAAGTGATAATAGATATCTATCATCTTGCCATGTTTTATGTACTATATTTATGATTTATTATCTGTGTATGTGCTATAGGATATCTATCTATCTATCTATCTATATATATATAATATGATATATATCGATATGCTAACTAATAGCTAGCTGATGCAGCATAGTTTTTAGCATGTCTGACTGGGCTAACTAGTGTTACTTTGTTTTTGCCAAGATTCAGTATTATTTATATGTGCAATTTATAATAAACTAGCAACTATTTGATGTAATTAATAGCTTAATTCAACTCAGCGAACACTAAACGCAGTAATTAAATGCATGAGGGCTAAATATATAAGTGCAACAGAAACCCCTGAAGAAACTTCCCCAAACTTTGCTGCCCCACTTCCACATAAAATCAGGCACCCATGCAAACAGGCTTCATCAGCGCATTTGCTAAAAGCACATAAAGTACAAATCTGAGAGTTTGAGATGGAAAGAACCACAAGATGTACTTCACAGAAAACAGTTTTCACACAGTGGAGAAAAATCCTTTTAGATGTATTTAAGCTCAGGACGTTTGATGGTCAGCAGGAAGTGCAAGAAACTTTCCAGCACCACAAATTGGTCAAAAATGGTTCATTATAAAAGGAGCCAAATTCAGCCTGAAGCTTGTTTCAATGAGAATATCTTTATTTCAAATATGAGCAATAATTTTGTCCATCAGAATATTTATCTGCCCACCCTCAGTGTCAGCTGCTGGTCTGATTCTTGTCTCTGTTGTGTGTGTTTAGGTCTCAGCGTGGGGAGGATACGTCTTCATCATCAATCTGATTCCTCTTCATGTGTTTGTGCTGCTGCTGATGCAACGATTCAGTAAGAGAGTCTACATCGGTGAGTCCCCCTCCCTCACCCCTCCCTTTCCAAGCGTGTATTAGAACTCACGACGACCATCGTGAAGATGTCCCTTTCGGGCTACTGTTTTAAATCTTACACACTACGCTGTGTTGAAAGCATTATATTGAATATACTACGCTGTGTGAAACACATAACACTATGCTAACACAACACTGTGCAGAAAACACTTCACTGAAAACACTATACTGTACAGAAAACACTCCACTCAAAACACTACAGTGTGCAGAAAACACTACAGTGTGTGGAAAACACTACACTGAAAACACTACACTGTACAGAAAACACTACAGTGTGTGGAAAACACTACACTGAAAACACTACACTGTACAGAAAACACTCCACTCAAAACACTACACTGTGCAGAAAACACTTCACTGAAAACACTATACTGTACAGAAAACACTCCACTCAAAACACTACAGTGTGCAGAAAAAACTACAGTGTGCAGAGAACACTACACTGAAAACACTACAGTGTGCAGATAACACTACAGTGAAAACACTACAGTGAAAACACTACACTGTGCAGAAAACACTACACTGAAAACACTACAGTGTGCAGAAAAAACTACAGTGTGCAGAGAACACTACACTGAAAACACTACAGTGTGCAGAGAACACTACACTGAAAACACTACAGTGTGCAGAGAACACTACACTGAAAACACTACAGTGTGCAGAGAACACTACACTGAAAACACTACAGTGTGCAGAAAAAACTACAGTGTGCAGAGAACACTACACTGAAAACACTACAGTGTGCAGAGAACACTACACTGAAACACTACACTGTACAGAAAACACTACACTGAAAACACTACAGTGAAAACACTACAGTGAAAACACTACAGTGAAAACACTACAGTGTGCAGATAACACTACAGTGAAAACACTACAGTGAAAACACTACACTGAAAACACTACACTGAAAACACCACACTGTGCAGAAAACACTACACTCAAAACACTACACTGTGCAAAAAACACTACACTGAAAACACTACACTGTGCAGAAACACTACACTGAAAACACTACACTGAAAACACTACACTGTGCAGAAACACTACACTGAAAACACTACACTGTCCAGAAAACAGTACTGTCCAGAAAACACTACACTCAAAACACAACACTGTGCAGAAAACACTGCACTGAGGCACTGCATAATTGATACAGAACAAAGCACAGCTATAGAATGTGTTGCAGTGAGAGTGACGATAAAGTTCATTTTTCACTCTTCAGATAAATTTAATGGAATGAAACTTATTTACCCCATTTAATACCAGCTAGCTAACTCTTCACAAACTCAGTTTTTCAGGTAAAAGATATGATGTGAAAAAGACTAGGCTAGTAATGTTAGCTTAGCATGCCATTAACATTTGTTCACTTTTCCAGAAAACTTTAGACTGACTGCTTTTCTCTGTGTACACTTAAGCCACATGTGATTTTCTAAGTTTTTTGCCTCCACTGTGCATTGTGCTGGGCTGTTTACCTTCATTACAAAAACAATGGTTTTGATTTTTAGGTGGTCTGGTGTGTGGTGGCCTTGAGAGCCCAGAGCTGTAGCAGACTGATCATTAGCAGCTGCTAAAGATATTTGGCTAGAACAGCCAGAAGACGTGTAATTTACTCCAGGTCTGAGGCGCCCGGGAGAACATGTCATTAACATTGCATTAACGTTGGGACAGCGCTATTGAAGGCTCGGGGAGGCAGAGGAGATCGATCGCTTTGGGTTCCACATCATTCGCTCTTAACTGTGTGTATAACTCACCTTGTACAATAGCGCTCTCCAAGGCCCTGGAAAATGAATAGCTCTTCTTGAGGAAGGCAGGAGGGCCGTCATTATGTGTTCAGTCTTTCAGTTCTTCTGTCCCAGTGGGGCCAGGCCCACCAGCATGATCATTCATCCGGACGCCAGCTTGCGCCCCGAAATCTCAAACTGAGTGCAGAGCCTTTAAATAGTTCAGCAAAAAAAAAATCGAATTTACGCAAATTTCACTCCTACGCCCAAATGTAGTCAGTCAGCCAGGATGTGTTTGGTGTCTGAAGTTTGTTGGGTTAGTTTTAGCACTGGAGCTACGAGGCTAATGTAGCTAACAAGTATGGGAAGCTTATGCCCCACCAGTTAGCATGATGCTAACTGAATGTATAAAGCCTCAAACCATGTAAAGCTGTTCAGAATATCTAAAAGACTTGATTGTGTGGTTTCTGACACAGAATGAGGGGCTCACACTGTACATGTTTTTGGCGGAGGGACCCTGTTCTTTCCTGTTGTTTTCTGGTGGGAGAGATGTTTTATGCTAACTGGGCGCCTTGCTTATTTTGTGCACTTTGTGGCTGTGAAGTTTGCAGAACACCAGGTATTCTGAGTTGACTTAATGTGGTCAAGTAGCCTACATCATCAGCATTTTTCTTCTTGTGTAACAAATGAGATCAAAGTTAAGGCAGGCCTTCACTAGCCACGTTTACATGGAACCTTATACTCCATTAATAATCCAACAAATAGGTCAATCGGAATAGAATACATCCATGTAAACACCTCAATCAGAATAGACTAGTCTGATTGAGGACATTCGGAATACAGTTTCTACCTAATTGATCGAGGTGGGTAATCCTGTAAATAATCTGTTAAATAGAAGAATAATATCCGTGTAAACGCCTGTATCTGATTACATTCCCTATCGGAAAGTTTAAGTCCGTTCTGATCATGTTCGTCGCGTCATAGTGAAAGTTTATACCGTTCAACATGGCGGAGCAGAAACTGGTCTGCAGAGGAGACGAAGTTTATGCTCTGATCTTTAAAAGACGGCGGTGGGACGGACGTCCAGCTTATGTGTCTCAGAACACGACGTCTTCCTCTCGGCCTTCTTTAATAAGGACATGTGAAGGACGTTTTCCTGAGTCTGACATCATTTTAAAGTAATTAAAAACACAAGCACTGCTCACTGCTGCTCATCTCACTCACTGACGTCTGACTCACATGATGCTGGTTGTCATGGTAATGTCTGCAATAAGTGGTTCTGTACGCATGTGCGTCATTTTGGATCTGATTACTTGTAGTGAGCATTTAAACGAAGATTTCCATCAGATTGTTGAGTAGAGTGAGAATAAACACTTCAGTCTTAATCTGTAATCAGAATAAATTCAATCAGATTGGCAACAATCTTTGCATGTAAACACAGACAGTGACAGTTGTAATGGAGGGATGGTTGCAGTCCTTCACAGATCAAAATCATAACAAACACAAAGTAGATTATTAGTTTAGCTTAGAAGGTGTGTTCACCCGCAGGTCCCAAATGATCTGCCAAAAAATCTGCAGGTGGGATTCATTTTGAGGCACTGCTGCCGTGGCAAATAAACAGCCAACAGGTTGCGGACTCTAGCTGGTAGGTTTATGGCTTGCTAGGTGGTGGGGGGTTCGGACAACTATCGGATACTTGTGTAAGCAGATGGGCAACAAATAAGCTGCAAGTTTGCCACAGAGAAAAACACATTAGCAGTCATAACCTGATGCATTCACCACCCATGTTGTGGCATGCCATAGAAACATGGGCTGTGTTGCAGATGTTGTAGCTTAATTAGCTAATAATATAATGTTCATACAGATAAAAACATAATGTTGATACAGATTAGAAGTAGCAAAATGAAGCTAAGGTTGGCTGTGGTGCCATCTGGAGGTTCTTCCACCATGTTGCAATGGGTTTTCTGTTTGGGTCTTTGTTCCTCCTGCTGCGCTTTCCTTTTGAATCTTGGTTTCTCTGATTGGTCCTCCCCTCCCCTTTGTTCTGCCGTGTTGTAGGGGGTTGTGTTGGTATGTCTACACCAGTGGGCAGGTGCGGGTGGCGTGCGGGAAGCACTAGATTTTGCAGGTGCAGGTGGACATAATAGGTGGTTACTATTAGTGTGGGCACTAATACTGAAGTCTGTGCAGACCTCTAGCTTTTTGTTAGCAGCACCACATTAGCTATTTAATAGCAGTAGCTAAACTTGCCTGTAGATATCACAGCTAACTGACAGTTACTTTGTTGTTGCTTAGCAACAGGTAGAAACATAGCCCTAAGCAACCTTTGAAAGATGCAGAAGTGTGTACCCCAACAAAGCAAAACACCGCAACTTTTCCGTCTTCGTAAAACCACAGTGTGAACTCCGCCCTCAGGACTGTTTGAAAAATTCACTTTGCACATCCTTTTGTCCATTTGGGGGGCTTTCAGCTTACATAACATTTAAGCTACATTAGCCTCGTAGCTCCAGTGAAAGACTAAAGATGCAAACTTCAGGCACCAAACATGTCTTGGCTGATCACCTACATTTAGTGTAAGGAGGGGAGTAATTGCAAAAGTTTGATTTTGGTAGATTATTCCTTTAAAACTTTGATCAGTAAAGGTTTTCGACATGGTTAGAATTAAAGGTTCTGTACAGGTACATTTTTCATTCATCAAGGTACAAACAATGTAAATGTTCCCTCAAAGGTTCAACAGTGGTTTTAAGGTCTGATTGTGAACCTTAAATAAGTTTTTCCAGGTGAAAAGTTCGTATTTGTACCTTTTCAGAACCGAATGATTTAAAACAGAACAGTAAAATAAAGTCCTGGAGACGAGACGGGGTGTGTGGAGTCAATACATCTTAGAAAATATAATCTCAACAAATTATGGTTCAGTTATGTTCCCTGACTAAAGGTACTGAGTTTAGTACCTTTTTTTCTGAGAGTGTAACAGAAAGCGTGATTAATGTGTGTGTTGTCTTGTTGCTGGTTGTTTTGTTCTTCTTTATCCACCTATCCTCTTTTCAGTGCCAGAAATTGGCGTCCTGATTGCGGTGTCTAACAGAGCATTTCATCAGCCCACCATTAGTGTTCTTGGGCTGTCAGCTCAGTATTGAAGGTGACTGGGCTTGAGCGGTTTCTGGGATTCTGGTTCTGAACCTTTTTTGTTCTGTGTTAAATGTCAGAAAGCTCTTAAACGATCTCACTCTGACTCTAAAATGGCACTTTGCCATGCGACCCGCGTCTTTTCTTTAAGGTCACTGCGATGATGGATGGATAAGTAGAGAGGAGCAGAGGCAAAAGCAGGACACTGGGGCAAAGGACACACTAACATTTTCCCGTATGAAATCTGTTTCCCTGGCAGGGTTCCACACAGTGTCATGGGGAATCCCTAACAAAGGACTTGACTTTTGCTACTGCAATTTCATGTGCAGTATAAAGTACAAATGATGTTTGTTTGATGTTTTCCATCAGCAAAAGTTCAACACCTCTAGCTAGAACAAAACTAACTGCACCTGGTCCTCTGGACAAAAGCATGAGGAGGAACCACTGAGAGGAACCCAGATTCAAAAGCAAAATCCATCCTCCTGTAGGCCACTCTTAAGGAGTTTTTCCTTTAGAGTCTTGGTTCCACTCAGTGGTTCTTCCTCATGTTCTTAGTGAGTTTCTCCTGTTGAGTCTTGGTTCCTCTCAGTGGTTTCTCTTCATGTTCTTAAGGAGTTTCTTCTGTTGATTCTTGGTTCTGTCTGTGGTTCTTCCTCATGTTCTTAGTGAGTATCTCCTGTCGAGTCTCGGTTCCTCTCAGTGGTTCTTCCTCATATTCTTAGTGAGTTTCTCCTGTTGATTCTTGGTTCTATCTGTGGTTCTTCCTCATGTTCTTAGTGAGTTTCTCCTGTCGAGTCTCAGTTCCTCTTAGTGTTCTTCCTTATTTTCTTAAGGAGGTTCTCCTGTTGATTCTTGGTTCTCTCTGTGGTTCTTCCTCATGTTCTTAGTGAGTTTCTCCTGTTCAGTCTTGGTTCCTCTCAGTGTTCTTCCTTATGTTCTTAAGGAGTTTCTCCTGTTGACTCTTGGTTCTCTCTGTGGTTCTTCCTCATGTTCTTAGTGAGTTTCTCCTGTTGAGTCTTGGTTCCTCTCAGTGTTCCTCATGCTCATGGAGAGCCTCTTCTGTTGAGTCTTGAGTTTTTGAAGTTTAAAAAGTTTTTAATGGCTCTTAATTACATCAAAAATGCAATAAAATCATTAATAAGCATATAATAATTTTAACCCCTTAAATGGCCAGGACCTGCCGGTGGGCCCACAGTTTTATTACATACTTCTAAAACCTATAATCAGCCTTAGTATGAAATAAGCCTGGAATTATAAGGGGTTAGTAGTATTTGTGATGTAATTAATAACCATTAATAAATAAAATTTAAAATCACTGGTTGCTAATGCAAAAGTTTTGAAAGTCTTGTTATACGAAAGATGTATGGCTGTGTGTAAAAGTTAGAACACCCCTGCTTAAATGACATTTTTTTGGTTTTCTATGTAAAAATAAGTGAACTCATTCTAACACACACTAAAATATGACACTTTTCTGACAATTTCAGTACACAATTTATATTTATTTGAGTTTAATATACAGGAAAAAAGAATGCATAAAATATAAAATGAGCCATTTTTCCCAGTATAAAAAATAAACCGTAATAGTGTATTAACACGTGCAGAAGTGTGTTCTCTGTAGAGGACGTGTTACATTAACTTATTTACACTTAGAAAGTCAACAAAACATGGAGTTTGACAGGGTGCCCAAACTTTTGCACAAGGCTGCAGGTGCGAGCTGTGCTCTGTAATCCTGATGTTCCTGCTGTAATCCTGCACCGCCGAGCGCATTCAGGCTGCAGCGCTCTGAGCAGGGCTTTATAAACGAGTGGTGCTGGGTTCGTCCTCCTCACAGATGGATGAGGAACACAGCTCAGCTTCAGCTCATCCACCTTCATGCCTCTCAGACTCTCTCCCTCCGCAACTCACACTCACCCGCTCCGCACTCCACTCCAGCCATCACTGCTGAAGCCGCGCGGTTTACAGGAGGAAGACCTACACGGCCGCCTCGGAAATATCGCCGCTTCCCTAATAAACCAGTGGATTTGTTGGTGTAGTCGGCAGAGAGGAGTGGTCACAGTGGGATTACTGCTCACTACACGGATCTGCAGCGCTGCATCAGTGCAGGATTACCAACACACAACAACACTGAGACAACAACAACATCAACACTGAGACAACAACAATAACGACAACAACACTGAGACAATAACAACACTGAGATAATTACACCAACAACACTGAGACAATAACAACAACATCAACACTGAGACAACAACAACGACAACAACACTGAGACAATAACAACACTGAGATCATTACACCAACAACACAGACAATAACAACACTGAAACAACACTGAGATAATTACACCAACAACATTGAGACAACAACAACAACAACACTGAGACAATAACAACAACACTGAGACAACTCAATCAGTCATAAACATTACCATAGATATTACCATTATATTAACAAGATCTCTCTCTCTCTCTCTCTCTCTCTCTCTCTCTCTCTCTCTGTCTCTCTCTCTCTCTCTCTCTGGTCATTTTCTCTTTCTCCTTCCTCTCCCTCATCCCTCATCCTCTTTGTCCTTCACTTTTTTCTTATTTCGCTCTTTTTCTTTGCCCTCTATCTCTTTCTTCTCTTTTCTTTTCTCATCTCTCTTTTTTCTCTCTCTCTCTCGCTACCTTTCTGTTCTCTCTCCTGTCTCTCACTCTTTCTCCTCTCTCTCTCTCTCTCTCGCTCTCTTCGGTCATTTTCTCTTTCTCCTTCCTCCCTTCTCATTCTCTGTCGTTCACTTTTTCTCATTCTATTTCTCTTTTCTTTACTTATTCCTCTGTTTTTCTTTTCCCTCTGTCTCTTTCCTCTTCCTCTCTCTCCTCTCTCTCTCTTTTCCTTTCTCTCTCACTCTTTCTCCCCTCTCTCACTTTTTTCTCTCTCATTATCTCTCTTTCTTTTTCCTTTTTTCTCCTCTCTCTCATCTTTGTCTCTCTCCTCTCTCTTTCTTCTCTCTCTTTTCGCTCTTATCTCTCTCACTTTCTCTTTCTCTCTTTTCTTTCTGTCTGTCTGTTTCTCTCTCTCTTCTCTGTCTTTGTCACTCTCCTGTCTTTCTTCTCTCTTTCGCTCTTTTCTCTCTCATTGTCTCTCTCTCTCTGTTTCTTTCTTCTCTCTCTCTCTCTCTCTCTCTCTCTCTCTCTCTCTCAGCCTACAGTACGTTCTACGTAGTGGGTCTGGTTTTGTCCATGCAGATCCCCTTTGTCGGGTTCCAGCCAATCAGGACGAGTGAACACATGGCTGCAGCCGGTAAGCTCCGCCCACAAAATCCTGATTGGTCAGTAAGCAGCGACTAATAAACTGTCTTCATCTCCGTCTGGCTGATTGACTGACTGTTCACAATGTTACATTCTGGATGTCAATCAGAAGAATCTCCAGCTGATGAGGAGTCGTGTCTCTAGTGACGACACAGTCGCATGTTAGTTTATATGAGTTATTATTTCTGACTCATAGTTCATTAAAACAAGAGCAGAAAATGTGTGGAAAACAGATTCTAAACTTTCAGTTCAGACTGTATTAGAGTGCGTCAGTCAAAGGGGATATATTTTTAGGATTTGAATTTGGTGAAAAGTTAGCTGTTGTGACGAAACAAGAAAAAAAATATGACATACATGTTTGCCATATTTCGGCATCGAAACAAACAGAACAGAGAAGTGCAGACATGAACCTCCCGGAAATCATACGTAAATAAATAGTGTAGCTAAACAGCAATGATCACTCTACACCTTTAAGGGTTCATATAACAACACTGTTGGGTCAAAATCTCTCCATTATTGTCGTTTTTTACTTTTCTGACTCCGACTGTCCTGCAGACTGTGTGCACATTGATGATCAAGATGAATGGACCAATAAACATAATCCAAAATGACTTACATTAAAAGTAAAGTTACCGTTTTGGAGGTAGAAGGTTTCATAACAGTGACCATAAGTGTTCTAACATACCAGCACGCAAATTTCCAACCTCATCTGATTATTAAAACAGCTTTAAAAAGTTCTTCAAGGCAGCAGCTATACATAGAACCATAACACCTCAGAGGACCATATGAATGGTTCTTCTTCATGATGGAGAATCTGTTGCTCTGAGGCACTTTCTGTGATTAGAGTTCATTTGGGCCTTTAAAATGCACTTTTTCTTTGGTGTTTTTTGATTAAGTATTAAAGTCGGTGCTTCATCTTCAGAAAATGTTATTTTCCCACCTCAGGCTGTTAAATCAGACACTATGAGCTGTTTTTTTCTGAAATTAATAGCATTTTTGTAACCCTCTTACCAGTTTTTACAGAGATAATGATATAAGTCTGTGTTAATTGAATTCATAATGATAATGAAAATGCTTTTGAGAAATATTTTTCACATTATTAATAGAAAAGGTTTTTGTATGGTTTCTATATTTCTTGACAGAATTTGAAAATGCTTGTTGTCCTTTACATTGTATGTAAATTTCATGAAGAATGGACCAAAAGAAACGGACCAAAATTACTTGGTCATTACTGTTTCCATTGACTTACATTAAGTAAAAATGATGTTTTTCCTTCTTCTGTTAAGTTATCAAAGTTCCAACTGCATCTATATATAACTATAACATTTTAATTAAATATTTTGTCAGTGTACTAATTACTAATTACTAATGCAAGAAAAAATGCAGTTTTTTTCTTTCTAAAAAAAAGTGAAATTTTTCATGTATTAGTAATTTACCAAATTGACACTTCTGGCAACATAACCTACTGAATATTTTGAGACTATTTTCACCAAAAATGACTGGATAACAAGGTTGAATTCTGAGTAACAGTGTTGAAGCGATAACAGGGTTGAAGTCAGATATCATATTTCCCATTAAGCTGATATTAATGCAGTAAAAAAAAAATCTAAATAACAGAGCTGAAAAACTGTTTTAATTAAAATGTTTTCATTTAAATATTTGCTTCAAGCCATTATTTATTTTCATTTCCATTTTCATCTAAAGTAACTTAAGGTTATAAATGGGTAACAAGGTTGTGAATTTAGCCTAAAATAAGCAGCATTGAGGAGCATTCAGCCAGACAGGGCGCACAAGCTGAATGCTGACTACTAACAACCATATAATGTACATAAATAAACAAATAGACAAATATATATTCTTTTTTTTTGGTAACAGGGTTTAATGGTCAAGGTTTGCTGCAGCCAAATCAGCTTTCTGTATGTAAATTGAGAAAACAGAATGAGAACACTGACCTGTCTGATGGTCATTCTGCAGAAAACAAGATAATGCAAATTGCTGTTTATGTCATCATAAACAGAATGTTCTGTTTTTCTGGGGGGGGTGGTGGTTTGGGTAACAGGGCTGCACATAAAATTTGCAGTTAAAATAACTGTTTTTGCTAAATTAAATCCAATAATATGGAAAAAAATCATTCTTATAACATTAAATTGTTTGGAAATGAACCAAATAACATTGTAATTATGCTTTTACTGGAAGATTTAATCAATATATTTCATATATCGGTGAGGTGGGACGGCTCAAATCACCACATTAAAGGTGCATACAGACATTTGAATGGTCATTTAAATGCTAATTTTTAATTTTAATTTAAGTTAATGTGCAGATCTCCTCAATTTACACAGAAATAAAAACAACAACAGTCTTTTTTTTCCTTCAAAAACATAATGGGATATAAATTATACTCTAATCATGGAAAGTGCCCTTATGTACTGCTATATATCACCAAAAAGGCTTCCACTTCTGTTACAGCTCAAACATCAGATTGACAACAGCGGCATTTTTCACTAAGAGTCCAGAGCAATATGTGTTATAAACTAAGTGTTATAACCGCTCTGGTGGCTTGTGACGCTGGTTAAGGGTCTCTGTGAAGAGGGTCTCGGCAGGACTTTCCACTCTCCTCCATTCTTTTGCACTCAGCTGTAAGTGTCTGTAATTAAGGGCAGCTCCAGAAGGTAATGTATATGTTGTGTAAAACTCACTGCCCCCTGCAGCGTCCTCCATCTGCCCTGCGCTTATGAAAGTCTCAGAGATGAGTGATCACTTAGCATGTGTTTAAGAGTTCTCGGCCCAGACGCTTTATACACCATCATCCTCTCACACAAGTGCTGGGATTTGGAGATGAAGTGACTCGTTCTGATGTGGTGCGCTCTAAAGAAGCAGCAGGGCACTGAAGATTGCTAAATAGGCTGACCAAGACTGGACTGGAAGATTGACAACAGGAAAAAAGTAGCAGTCACCAGCCATAACAGGACAAAGAGAGAGTATAACACACATAACGAGTTTGGGCTACGAATAGGAACTCAAACTCCCAGATCTCCTCAGAAATCACATGACACTAAATGCATTAAAAAAAACACATTTAAAGTAAACAGTATAGAGCAGAAAACGAAAGCTGAAAAAAAGTGTTTTAATTATACATACATCATCATCTAAACCGCTTATCCTTCTGGGTCGCGGTGGGGTGCTGGAGCCTATCCCAGCTGTCATTGGGCGGAAGGCAGGATACACCCTGGACAGGTCGCCAGTCCATCGCAGGGCATGTTTTAATTAAAATGTTTCATTAAAATATTTATTTCAAGCCATTATTTATTTTCATTTAAAGTAACTGAAGGTTAAAAATGGGTAACAAGTTTGTGAATTTAGCCTAAAATAAGTAGCATTAGGAGCTCGACAGGGCGCACAAGCTGCATGCTGACTACTAATAACCATATAATCTACATAAATAAAAATATATATAATCATATATTCTTTTTTTAACAATAGTTTTGGTAATAGAGCTTAATGTTCAAGATTTGCTGCAGCCAAAACATGCTTTTTGTCTGTAAATTGAGAAAATAGAATGAGAATACTGACCTGTCTGAAGGTCATTCTGCGGTAAACAAGATGATGCAAATTCAAGTTTATATCATAATAAACAGAATGTTCTGTTTTTTTACGGAGGGGGTCGGGCGGTGGGGTAACAGGGCTGCACTTATAATATGATAATTATAACACAGGTCAAAATGTCTGTTTTTGTTTAATTAAATAAATTAATCGATTAAATTAAATAAGTTAAGAGAAGTACATGAACACCTCATATAGTTAAAGATTTAAAGATTCACAGTGTCTGACTGCAGCAGAGCTTTGACAAGCAAAGAACTAGCTAAAAGTGGTTATAATGTCCTAGAAAAGGTCTAGAACTTGACTTTAGGCTCCTAGCTAGACATGAAAGTTATGCCCAGTCTAAAACCTCAGCTCACGACCAGTTATGCACAGAAAGTTTCAACTGACTTAGCTTATGACCCTTTTGGCGCAACCGGCCACTCTTGAATACAGCAGGACTGCACATGCAGTGTGCTACCGTTTGCGCTAAACGCTGTGTGGACCAAGACTGTTAGAGCTAGGTCTTTAGTTTGAGCTAGACATGTCATAAATACAAAAAAGGAGAAAAAAACATTTCTGTGATAAAACTAATTTGTGCTAGTGCCACTATGAGATTTCTAATAGTATGTTAGCGCTTAGCACATGTGTATGGCCTTCTGTTCAGCTCCTTCAGCTCCTGAAGTCCTAACCAATGGGAGAGCACACTGGGCTGTATCCACCTAGATACCACGGAGAGAACAATCCTGATTGGATACATTTCTGTTGGGAGTTTTTTCACCCTTTTCTTTTCAATGTTTTCTAGAGTGTTGCAAGGTGGTTGTTTTAGTACCTCAGGTGGTTGATGAGGTGTTGCTAGATGGGTGCTGTGGTGTTACAGGTGGTTGCTAGGGCATTGCTAGGTGGTTGCTATGGTATCCTGGGGGAATTCAATGTTTTTAAACCCTTTTGTTTCCAACCAAAATATATAATGAATAATTATATAATTATAAATAAGAGCATTAGTGTATTACCTGTAGAGTTTAAATACAACATGCATTTTATTGAATTTAATCAATCAGTGGCTCATCAGTGATTATCTTTGTTGCAGTAGAGGGAGCTTCCCAATGGGTGACACATGACATTTTTGCATAATACATGCTGGGTATTGTGGGAGCATTGACAGATAGTATTATTAAATGCTAGTTTTAGGCCAGAAGGCCCTTATTACAAAGGATTAGGCTTGGATTGGGCTTAAAATAGCCTATGTCAGTCTTTAAAATGTGCCTTAATGAGCTCAGTTGTGCTGAAAGTAATGAAAAACCCCATAAGGACTGTGTCCAAACTTCTGACTGAATGTGAAAAGAGGGAAAAGCAGCAGCTGTGAGTTTCCTGCTCAGTGAATTGCTGCCTGCTGGTCGGTGCAGCAGGAGCTCAAGTCTTGCCTTCTGTTTCAGATCCAGCACTGCAGGAGAGAGTCGGTACACTCAGAGCAATACAGTCCGCCTCTGCATGTGGAGCTGATTCAGGCCTTCGCCGCCTGCAACACAACCGCTCTTTCCTGAAAATACATTTCTTTTGTATTGATTTTCATTGTAATGTAAACCTGATCTAATCCTCTTTTGAATTCACGGTTGAGCTTTTTGTTGTTTCAGGCCTGAGCGGAGAGCGGATTAAACACCGTTATGTTGTTCCATATAACGCTCAGTGTAGCACAGCGCTAATGCTGAGAGCTTCAGGAAGAGAGAGAGAGAGAGAGAGAGAGAGAGAGAGAGAGAGAGAGAGAGAGAGAGAGAGAGAGAGAGAGAGAGAGAGAGAGAGAGAGAGAGAGAGAGAGAGAGAGAGAGAGAGAGAGAGAGAGAGAGAGAGAGAGAGAGAGAGAGAGAGCTCCGTGTTCTGAAGCGAAACCGATGGAGAAATGTGATTTCTGCGAATTTCAGATGATTACATCATCATTCACCCAAACGCTGATGAAATGCTGACGGGTGATGCCACCCTGAAAAAAAGATGCTCTGACCATCAATACCAAAGAAACATCGAATGGGATTTGGCAGTGAGGCGCAGCAGTAATGACCCGACGTTGGGGCAGACTAACAGTGGATCATAAGTAGCGTTTATTGTGATGGGCAATAGCACTAAACGTTACAGCACTAGCTTATTTATGTGAAATGAATATACAGTACTGGGTAAAAGGTTTGAGGCACCTGAGGAGATTAGATTTAAAAAGCTGTTTGTCTGGGCAGTGACTGTGTATGAAAAACACAAATACAACAAAATAGAGAATATTAGTACAATAGGCTGAGCGTTTATGTGTGTCAGTGTGTCATTGCATTGCCTGAATTCAATGATTTGGTTGTTATGGTATCCCAAGTGGTTGCTAGGGTGTTGCTAAGTGGTTGCTGTAGTATCCTACGTTGTTGTTAGGTTGTTGCTCTGTGCTTGCTGTGGTTTCCAAAGTGGTTGCTAGGGTGTTGCTGGGTGGTTGCTAGTGTGTAGTTGCTATGGTGTTCCAGGAGGTTGCTATGGTATCTCACATGGTTGATAAGGTGTTGCTAGGTGCCTGCTGGCTACCCAGTTGGTTTCTATGGTGTTGCTGTGTGTTAGCTATGGTATCTTTGGTTGCTAAAGGTTGCTATTGTATCAAAGGTGGTTGCTATGGTGTTCCAAGAGGTCACTATGGTATCCCAGGTGGTTCCTAGGTTGTTGCAAAGTGGTTCCTATGGTTCCTAGGTGGTTGATAAGGTGTTGCTAGGTACTTGTTATGGTATCCCAGTTGGTTTCTATTGTGTTGCTGTGTGTTAGCTATGGTATCTCTGGCAGTTGCTGAGTGGTTGCTATGGTATCAAAGGTGGTTGCTAAGGTGTTGCGAGGTGGTTGATAGTGTGTAGTCAGGTGGTTGCTGTGGTGTTCCAGGAGGTTACTAACACACATTAACATATATTTGAGCTTGTATGTATCAGTGTTACAGTGACTCTTTCAGTACTGACATAGTTCTGGCATAAAACTGCCACCGCTGTTTTCCATTCCTAACAACCACCTGAAACCTGGTGACTCATATTCACAGACAGTGATGTATCTAGAACTTCCAGAAGGACTAGAATGAGTTTTTTTCTCTATAAATTGGTCCCACTGTAAATCAAAGCATGCTTGGTTGATTCCTCTGTCACTTCCTGATTATGTTGGTTGTTAATCTAACATCTATGACCTTCAGCTCCTGAAGTCCTAACCTATGGGGCAGTTTACTTGGCTGTATCTACTTAGATATAAGAGAAAACAATGCTGGTTGGATAGTTTTCTGGTGGGCACTTCAAGATTTTAAACCTTTTTTTTTCCAACCAAAACTGAACAATGAAATAGGAATTTTACTACAAAACTTAGAGTTTAAATACGTTTATGATGATTCTAAAAATATAACAGACATGTATTATTATAATTCCTAGAATTCATTAGGCCTTCTCTGAAGGTCTACAAGGCCCTGAGGGTTCCCCTCTGGCTGAGACGCAGTTGTGCCGAGGTGAAAACGTTTGACATGCCAGTAGAGTACGCAGACTTGCTCCTGTAAGCTCAGTAATGTGTTATTATCCTGCAGCAAGGCCTGATGGGTACATTTCTCTGGAATAGGGACCAATAGCACAAACATTTCTTTCACAGATACCAATTTTAAGGAGCTAAAAATCCTGATAAACAACAATTGGCAAAACAATGAAACAGACTCTAAATTGTCAAATATGATTGTCGGTTCTCAGTTCTCCTTTAAAAGTAACACATGTAAACAACTCTATGTGTGATTGGTCCCCAAATCACAAGCGCACTATTCCAATATAGAGGCTCTACAGTCATGCGAAGTTTCATGGTTCTAGCTTGAAAACTGCAACCCATGAGAACGGTGCCAAAAAAAATCCTAATGAATGACTTTGTCAAGCCAAATTAATAATGAGCAATCAATTACTTATCAACTATATAGCAACTATTAGCAATAATGTGTGACAAGTCTGAATTTATCAAAATAAAAGCACAGGAAGATTTTATTTCATGAATTTAAACCTGGAGTATATTTAAAGGCCTGAGTAATAAATTCCCAAAGTATATGACACTAGTGTTGTGAACACAGCCTCTATGAGAGCCCTTGACAAAACCAGTGACATATAGTTCTAATAAAACAACAAACTGTACACAGTCCGAGGGAGATCATATGCTGTTTGCAGTTGCAGCGTACTTACATCACACACTCGCAGAGAAATAATCAGAAGCCAAACAGCAGGAAAAGCAGAAGCAGATCTTTCACTGCTATTGAAAAACAGCTGCAGCTTCCATATGGCGCAGTCTCCTCAGCTGAGGACCCTCAGTGTCTGCTCATGTCTTTGTGTGAACATCTGTTCTACAGAAAGGACCTTCAAAGTTTGAAGTGTTTCGGTTTCAGTTATCAGTTACTCAAAGGAAGAAGTGAGATTATCGGATGCTTTTCTTCTGTCACTGATGGTGTGTGTGTGTGTGTGTGTGTGGATGTGGATGTGTAGGTGTGTTTGCTCTATTGCAGGCCTATGCGTTTCTGCAGTATCTGAAGGACAAGCTGACCCGGCAGGAGAGACAGTCTCTCTTCTATCTCGGAGTTTCTATAGTCGCGCTTGTTGTTTTCCTCACTGTTATATACCTCAGCTGCATAGGTGAGCATCTATATAAGTTGGTCTTATTATATTAATTACATTAATATATGAAGCCAGCCGATGGCAGTCATGCATTTGTGGTTACAAAAGAGCAGAAAAGGGATCAGCAAAATGTCCTGACCTCTACCAAAACTTAAGTTCCAGACTGTGGAGTCCGAGTCAAGTCAAGTTTCTTTCACTACTGTATAGTCATTGTCAGTTCTTAGTCAGTTATTCATATTGCCCGTGTTGTGTTATTGTTTTGCTAACCAAGTCGAGATCCAGAAATCCAGAGTCCCTAACTGTCAAGTCTGACTCAGATCCGGAGTCCTAGCCATAGAGTCAAGTCTAGAATGTTTAGCTGTAGGGTCAAAATCCAGACCCATACTGAAGATTCTGGCTTGATTCCAGAGACTCGAGTCGAGACCAGAGTCCCCAGACATAGAGCTGGAGTCAAGTCCCAAGTCCCTAGCTATAGAGTCCAAGTCGAGTCTAGAGTCCCTAGCCATAGAGTCTTGAATTGAGTGTGGAGTGCTTAGTTCAGGCATGTCAAACTGGGGACCTTCCAGGCCAAAGTGCTGCAGAGATTAGCGGTTACCCTCATCTAACACTCTGAATTCTGTTCATGTGTTTAATGAGGCAATGTGCTGAAGTCTGCAGTGTTTTGGCCCACAAGGACTGGAGTCTGACACGTGTGCTGTAGGGTCTGAGTCAAGTCCAGAGTGCTTAGCTGTAGAGTCAAAGTCAGTTCAGTTCCATGCTGAGGGGCTGGATTGAGTCTAGAGTCCCCAGCCATACAGTTAGAGTTAAGTCCAGAGTTGCTAGCTGTAGAGTTGAGTACACAGTCCTTAGCTATAGAGTCTGAATCAAGTCCAGTGTCCCTTGCCATAGGAGTTCAAGTAAAGTCCTAGCTCACTTTTGCATATTTGCTGTCTGAATTGATTTGAGATGAAAGAAAACTGAAGGTAAAAATATAGAAATCATGATGTTAGAAAACTAGACATTGATGTTACTGAGGTGATGTTGGTTTTAAAAAATCAATAAACTGAACCATTTGAAGTTAATTAGGAGCACACAGCTAGATCGCTAGCTTCGAAAACCATGAGTCACACACTCACCCACACATGCACATATAGATGCTCACAGACCTTCAAATGACGCCTACAAACTACTGTGGACTGTATACCAGGTGGATGATTGTCCTTCATTCATTAACACTGCCATCTTGACCGTGCCAGTACACTAACGTTCTGCGCTTGTGTGTAGGTTGCATCGCGCCATGGAGTGGCCGGTTCTATTCTCTTTGGGACACTGGGTGAGTTATTCTCTGACGCACACAGGCTGCTCTGGAAACCACTCAATCACCGCTTCTGTTATGAATGCATCTTATGGTTTGTTTCACATTTGCTTGACTGTGATTCTGCTTACCAACGTTTTCATACACACAGCGAAAAATGATATCTTAGCCAGTGTAAACATCTTAAATGCAGTAAATATATCTACTATTTCTCATTATAAGAATGTTATATATAAGAATATTATGAGATTATTTAACTTATTTCTTCACTTGTTTTTAAGCAGTTTAAAAGCAATGTTTTTAATTTATCTTATAAAGGTGTCTTGTTCCACTGGCAGATCATTGTACTTGTTTTAAGCATAATTTTTTGAAAGGAGCAAAATTATCATAATTATTTCTCAAAACAAGTAAACTAGTCTGCCAATGAAATAAGACACTTGCACTAGATAAAATCACTTAAAACAAGTACAAGTGTACAGAAGCAGGTGGAATAATCTTTTAAAATTCTTACAACTGTCACTTAATGAGAAATATTAGATTTATTGACCACATTTAAGAAGTTTTCACTGGTTAAGATATTATTTTTTTTGATGTGTACATCATTATATGTCTTCTCCAGCGGTGTGTAATAAGCTAAAGTGCTAAACAAATAACAAGGAACTGAATGTACCCTGGGCGGCACGGTGGCGCAGTGGGTAGCGCTGTTGCCTCACAGCAAGAATGGCCTGGGTTCGATTCCCAGCTGGGTGACCAGGGTCATTTCTGCGTGGAGTTTGCCTGTTCTCCCCGTGTCTGCGTGGGTTTCCTCCCACAGTCCAAAGACATGCAGTCAGGCTGATTGGACATGCTTGATTGCCCCTAGGTGTGAATGTGTATGTCTGTTTGTCTGCCCTGCGATGGACTGGCGACCTGTCCAGGGTGTATCCTGCCTTCCGCCCAATGACAGCTGGGATAGGCTCCAGCACCCCACCGCGACCCAGAAGGATAAGCGGTTTAGATGATGGATGGATGGATGAATGTACCCTGTTAGAAATGGACAGTGGTGTACAGGTACATTTTTGTTCAGCAAGTGTAAACAAACAATGGTTTTAAGGTCCAGTTGTTCAAGTTTTTCCTGGGAGAAAAGTGCATATTTGCTACTTTTCATGAGCTAACATTTTAAAACAGAGTCAAGGCAGGGTGTTTGGAGTCAGTGTAATTTAAAAAATGTAACTGCGATGGATTATGGTACAATTTTCTTCCCTTATTAAGCAAACTGAAGACGTACCCTTGAGGGTAGCACCCTAGTGACTTGAGCGGAGCCACCACAATGACAGTTCAACAGTTCAGTGCCTTTTTCTCTGGGAGTGTAAAGCTCTAGATTACACAGGACTTCAGTCCTTTTAATTCAGTGAGCAAATGTGGTTAAAGTGTTGCAGAAGCACCGTTGAACTGACAGTAAACAAACCTCTTTTTCCTCCTTTATTTCCGTCTCTCTTTGTCTCTCTCAGCTATGCTAAGATCCACATCCCCATCATAGCCTCCGTTTCGGAGCACCAGCCCACCACCTGGGTCTCCTTCTTCTTCGACCTGCACATTCTGGTCTGCACTTTTCCCGCTGGACTTTGGTTCTGTATCAAGAACATCAACGATGAACGAGTGTTTGGTAAGAGTTCACGGAGACAAGCGTGCATTATTAAGCCCTTAAACCCTAGAACCCGTTCTGCAGCTCCTCATTCTCGTAAATACAGCATTTACACATGCATAGTAGTTTCTGAAAAATTCATACAGGTTACTTAAATGTACAGTACAGTCTTAAAAAGCGATGGTTCTTTAAGGGTTCTTTAGTAAAAACAGTGGTTCTCTATAGAACCATGAACACCCAAAGAACCGTTTGCATGCTTAAATGGTTCTTTGCATGGTGAAAACGTTCTTTAGACTGATGGAGAAAGAATCTTTTTGAAAATGGTTCTTTATAGCACCAAAAAGGGTTCTGTTATTATATACAAGCTTGACATCTTAACAATAGAAGAACCCTTTTTGATGATAAACAGGACCATTGCACCATGCAAAGAACCATTTAAGCACGCAAATGGTTCTTTGAGTGTTCATAGTTGTGTTCACTGTCTTTACTAAAGAACTCTTGAAGAACCATCTTTTGTAAGAGTTTAGTTTCTGAGTAATTGTTAGCAGTTTTAAGGGGCCTCAGCCGATCCATGTTCTAATTCACAGCCACACACTCCTTTACTTCCCCACAAATCCGTGCAGCAGCGCATTATCTGGAATTAGAATAAGCTGAAAAAATGACTTTTTTAAAACTATCCAGCTTATTCTAATTCCAGATAATTCCTTTCAGTTGCTACAGTTGTTCAGTTGTAAGTGTTATAAAATTGGGGTCAAGCGTCAAGGGGTCTTATTTTCCTTTGTGCTGGAACAGGGCCCGAGGCTTTATGTAATGCGGTCAGTTCTGATGTTTTATGGCCAGATTCCATCTGCAGCGGTTTTCTGCTTGGTCCTGACACACAATATGTCAGAGTTATGAACAATCTCAACATCATTATGAGAATTTCTATGAATTTTCCAGCTGAACTGAACTGAATTGAACTGAACTGAATGGAAAGTAATATATTTTCTTGTCCCAAATGGGGAGAATGTTTTGGGCTCACAAAGGCTGATTATAATCAAAGTCAAACATACATATTGTTACTATTGCACAAAAACTGTGTATCTCCATTTTTATCATTTTTTACTTTTTTTGAATTGTATGACACTCTTTGCATTGTATTAAAGCAGGGGTCACAACCCAGATATTAAGAAGGGACATTTTGTTCAGCAAAAATCAAACCACCATGGGAGCCACAACATTTTATGTCCATTTTACCATCTTGGCTGTTAATATGTCTCAGTATGTGCTGATGTACTAGTATAGGCTAGCAAACATAATATAAACGAACACACAGATTTACTTTGCTCTGCTTAAAGCTTTAGCTCAGCTTTTCTCGCATCTCCAGCAGGAAACTTTTCCTCAGAAGTAGAACAGTTTCTTGTAAAATGTCTCTCAATGTTCAGTTTTTACGAGGTTTCAAATTCGCCAGCTTCTTGTTCGAATTTTCCCGTCCCATCTCAAACGGTGCCTTAGGCGCCAGAATGTAACTGCTGCACCATTTAAGGTGGAATGGGACAATTAGAACAGGAAGCTGGCGAATTAGAAACTGACTTTTGTCAGTTTCTTGCCGCACGTTAAACGTATCAGGAAACCAGCTGGAGTGATTATAAACGCAAATAAGGCCAGTAGTTAGGCAAGATTGTCTGCGTTGCTATGGTAACCAGCAGTCTGCACTGATCTTCAGGGTTAAAGGGTGAATTAGTAGTTCTACTCCAGCGTTTAAGACCATTTATTGTTAAACTGTGTTGAACGATCAGCAGAGCTTTATTTTACTGTAAAGGAGGATTATTTTATTATTACCTACAAATCTGATTCAGCTGTGGAGCCACAACAGGACAGTAAAAGTTGTTTACCAACCACTATGTTAAAGTTTCACAATGAGTGGACCAAATGAAGTGTAAAATTATGTGTAATAAAATCTTCTTACATTGACTTCCATTACAAGTTAAGGATGTTTTTTCCTTCTCCTGTAAAGTTACCATGTTACCACAAATATAAAGCTTTAAATCCCTTTGACACTGTCATACATAATTAACACATGCATACATCCTTTAAAACCTATGAATAATACTTCTTAACGAGAACAGTAAATTACACCAACAGTATATGCCAGAAGTAGCATAATGTGTATAAATATATACAATAATAATCTGTGAAATATATCATATAAATATATCACCACTAAAAGACTTACAGGGTACTACCTAAAATATCTTCCTGGTCCACCTTCAGCAGGGCTTTAGAAAATGAGTGAAATGCAGCTTTTTATTGTGATGTAAACAAAGTACACTGTAATTGTGTTTTCTCTCTGCTGCCCCCCAGTGACTCTGTATGCGATCAGCGCCGTGTACTTTGCGGGTGTGATGGTGCGGCTCATGCTGACTCTGACGCCCGTCGTGTGTGTGCTGTCGGCCATTGCTTTCTCCAGCATCTTCGAGCGTTACCTGGGCGACGACACAAAGCGGGAAAACCCCCCATCGGAGGACAGCAGTGATGAGGACGACCGAAGAAACTCCGGAAATCTCTATGATAAGGTAGAAGAGCGTTACTGAAACACACACAGCTTTATAAGGATGCACCAACTTCGGACTAAAGGAGAAATGAAAATATGATACACCCACAATATTTTTCAGTTGAGATAATTTAAATTCTCTTAAATAAAGATTATGTTGCTATTTATTAAGGTTTTTTTAAAAAAAAAACTTTTTATCTAATGAAGTTTACAGTTTTTTCAACTCACTTAAATCTTTTTACATTGAAGTAAAAAAAAAATTGTAGACATATTGCATATTATACATTATTAAAATCGCATGAAATACATACTTTAAAAATTAGCTGCAGAGTTTGCATCGCCTTGCGAAATGAGCTGGAAGACGGAACGAAGCTGGACCGGAAGACAGACAACATTTCGATGCACTATAAATGCGACAATAAATACACAAGTGTGAATATAATTATACCAGATAATGATACATTTGCACCCTGAGTTACAATATATACCCAATTCTAAAATAGTTGGGACAGGAGGTAAAATGCAAATAAAAGCAAAACACAAAGATGAGATAATTAATATTTGTAGATTTTTTGCATATATTTTTCTTATTCGAAATGTATTGCCTGCTGCATATTCCCTATAAAACTGGGACAGGGGCAATATAAGACTGGGAAGTTGGAATGATCAGTTCCTGTTTTGGAACTTTCAACAGAAAAACAGGTGAAGCAATTATGATTGGGTATTAAGTAAATACAAATACAAAGCTCAAGACACTTTGAACTGGATCAGTCTTTTCCAACCACTTAATCCACCTTCATTTCAAACCATATGAATGGTTTTATATTAAACTTTTGAGCTGAGACAGGAGAGGGGAGTGTTTCTTACTTCAGTGAGCCTTTAAAATGGTTTAATGAACAGACTGTATTGTACAGTATAGCAGGTCTCTTTTACTGTCGAGATACTGTATGTTTCTTTGCCCTTCATTATCTTTGCTCTTCATGAAGCTCGGACAGACTGCAGCCATGTAGGTTATGAATACTTCTGTGTTCTGTATGGACTTTATCAGCTTGGTGGCACATTGTTTTAAGTTACTCTAAGAGCTTCTGCTAAATGAATAAATATAAATTTAAATCTCAAAAGCATCAGTATTTTTTCGCCTCTCACTTTAAATTCATAGAAGCATTTATTTGGTAAATTATAAGTTGTTTTAAACAGTAAGACTGTTATCTGAATGGCTCGTCAAAGCTGTGATGGTTTTGTTCCTTGAGACTTAGCAAATTAACTTCTGTGCATATTAAATATGAATTAGAATCAGGAAGAATTCTGTCAAGACCGAGGAGGCTTATTAAATACAAATAAGGTGGTAAAATAAGCCTTTTTTCTTTTTTTCATTTCAACTGCTTAAACTTTGTGTTGGAGTCGGACTCCCTCTGCTGACTAGAAGTGGCCAGTGTTTGACCAGGAAAAATGTGACCAGTGTTGGAGTCAATTCACATCTCAGTCCAGTTTCCATACAAGATTTCCAAATTTTCAAAGAAAGTGATATGCATTTTCAAAAAGATTTCAAAATGTAATAAAACAGTTCCATATTCCAAGAAAATTATCCAAAATTCCAAAATAAGATTTACATATTCCAAGCAAATGATCCCAAATTCCTAGAAAATCTTTCCCGTTCCCATAACCACTTCCAATTTCCAAGAAAATGATCCTGAATTCCATGAAAATTATTAGAATTCCCAAACAAAATCTGTCTTTATTTTACTTGAGTTCACCTTTTTGGAATCTCACACTGACTGTTGCAGGCCGGTAAGGTGCGTAAGCATGTCTCGGAGCAGGACAAGGCGGAGGAGGGATTGGGGCCCAACATTAAAAGCATCGTCACCATGCTGATGCTGATGCTGCTGCTGATGTTCGCTGTTCACTGCACCTGGGTCACCAGCAACGCCTACTCCAGCCCCAGCGTAGTACTGGCTTCATACAACCACGATGGGTAAGAACACATGCACTCTATTAAGACCAACTCCAGCCCCCGTGTGAAACCTGAATTCCTAATTCCACATCTTAAAGTCACGTTGAGTAGACCAGACAAGAATGTTTGTAAACGCACATGTTGGAGGTACTTCTCAGTGGACAGCTTGCATCCAGTCAGCAGTAGCAGTAAATGCAAACAGAACAGACTGAACCACAATGATAGTATCTCATCAATATCTTGGTTCAGCCAACATTCTGTTCTTTGTTTTATTATTAAATGCTTTTTGTACCGTTCTCACAGGCACAGTTTTCGAGCTATAGCCATGAAATTTGGCAGGATCGTACAGCCTAAACAGGAGTAGTGCGTTTATGCTCTTAGGGCCGACTGCAGTGTACACTTTTCACACAACGTTCATTCAAGCACATTTTTTTTTCCCATAGGAAATGAATGGTGGAATGTTGATAAAAAAAAAACACCTGGGATATCAAATGGTTTAGCAAATGGTTTAGCATAGCAAATGGTTTAGCAATACCTTAGCAACCACCTGGGATACCATAGCAAAACCCTAGCAACATGTTAGCAGCCACCTGGGACAACATAGCATGGCCTAGCAACACTTTAACAACCACTAGGGATATATAAGCAATGGCTTTGTCAAGCCATTTTTACAGTTAAGTTACTTCTTGTTGATGTTTAGCTACTTCTGTATAAGTTAATGAGAGTTTTAAGCCTGTTTGGATAATGGTGGTTATTACTGTACCTGTTACTGTACTGTATTACTGTCACTACTGAAAGGTTTAAATGTAGCTGTAATGACGGACTTAATAATGAGTGTTTATGGTGGCATCTACATATCTACACTGGACATGCATGGTAGTTTCCAAGTTTATCAACATATACATACAGCATATTTGCTCTGTCTATATTTTGCTCTCAGGTCCCGGAACATTCTGGATGATTTTCGAGAGGCGTACTACTGGCTGCGTCAGAATACAAACGAGCATGCGCGAGTGATGTCGTGGTGGGATTATGGGTATCAGATCGCTGGAATGGCCAACAGAACGACACTGGTGGACAACAATACCTGGAACAACAGTCATATCGCCCTGGTCAGGCCAGCACTCCCAATAGAACACAAACAATGAGCTTTTCAGTGTTTTCGTGTTTGTATCTGGTCTTTTTCGGCCAAAAACAGTGTGAGATGCAGATTTTCCGCTAGAATGACGCAGCGGATAATTATCAGAGCATCAGTGGGTGTGTGACAATAATACAATAATTAGCAAAACTGCTGGCACAACTGTGGGCTGATGCCTATAATCAGTATTTCCATGTAGATATTGTTGCTGTCAGAACAAAAACTTCCTTTTTTTGCATGTAATTTGAAAATGCTAGCTGCTCTTTACATCATGTCAAAATGCAGTGAATGTAGTGATGAGTGGAGATTATATATATATATATATATATATATATATATATATATATATAAAGATAGATAGATAGATCTGTACATACATATATAAATACACACACAAACATATATATATATATCACATTTATCATATACAGTCAATGATTGTAGCCTTTCCCTCTCAGTACAACTCATGGGTTCTTGTTACAGTGGAGGTTCTAGAGTGAAACTGGAGCTCCACTTTCCTGCTGCTTTTGTTAGTTTGTTGCTGTCTGATTTATTCATAGTTCTCCCACGAACACTGTCCAGTGTGCGTCCTCCAGTGTTGATGTTACTAATATTACTGATATTGCAGCATAACTTATGTCTTTTGCTTGTAAATGAAATGTAATTTCACCAAAGCAGCAGCTGGAATTAACTTCTGTCAAGAGAGCCATCAAAGGAACTTGTCATTTGAAAGCTGTGCCTGAACGAGAAGGCTACAGTTCAATCATACCTACAGCTGGGCTTCAGCCTGAAGCTATAGATGATTAAAAAGGTCAAACTAGAAAATGTGTTAACGGCTTAAAAAATGAGTGAATTATTTATGGTGTTAGCACATTATTTTAACTTTGACAGCCCTGCTTTAAATCAAAATTTTATTAGTTTTTAAAAGGGCTCTTCTGTGCAGAGCCAGAAATCGTTTTATGTAGCTGCAGAAGAATGTGCGCAATAATAGATCAAAGTCCTGAACGAAATCATAGGGTTGGTGGATTTTTCATTAAAGAATATCGTTAGTCCAATTTTGCAACTACTGCAAGAAGTTAATCACTAAAAAAGTCATTTTTTTTACCACCAATTCACCTCTCCTTTCTTCTCCAACGCCCATCTCTTTCTCAGGTTGGGAAGGCGATGTCATCTAATGAGAGCGTAGCGTATGACATCATGAGGATGCTGGATGTCGACTATGTGCTGATCATCTTTGGAGGTGTTATCGGCTACTCGGGTGATGATATCAACAAGTTTCTGTGGATGGTGAGGATAGCAGAGGGAGAACACCCTAAAGACGTACGGGTAGGTTGGGTACTTGTACATACGTTTATACAGTATATATAGTACACTCATTGGCCATTGGTCATTTAGGTCCACCATTCTAATACATGGTAGGACCAGCCTTTGCCCTCCTAACAGCTAGAATTATTTGTGGTGCTAGAAACATTCCTCAGAGATTCTGGTCTAGGGCTGAATGATTCGGGGAAAATATCTTAATTGTGATATTTTTTTTGTCTAATTATTTTCTGTAGATTGAGGTTCAGGCCTGTTCTTTAGCCAAGAACACCAGAATATCAACTTTTTTTCTGGCTTAAGGCTTGAACCCTGAATGTAGTGCACCAGACTACCAGTAAGTTCTAGTTGTGATGTCACAACACACAGAGTTTTGGTTGCCTCTAATTGGTCCAACTTATTTACAGGCAGTTCACAAGCTTTGTGTTATTATGTTTAATTACCTCATTTAAAATTTAAGACAATGTTTTTGACAATGCAGGCTATAACTTAACAAAAACTGCAGCTCTTATGATTTGAAAATAACATTCATTTACACTGCATTTTCAACATAAACACGATTAATCTGTCAGCCCTATTCTGGTCCATGTTGACATGATTGTATCATGTAATTGATGCAGATTTGTCAGCAGCACATTCATGCATCAAATCTCACGTTTCACCCAAAGTTCGCCCAAAGGTGCTCTGCTGGATTCAGATCTGGTGTCTAGAGAGGCCACTGGACTCATTGTCATGTTTAGGAACCCGTTTGAGATCTTACCATGCTGGAAGCGGCCATAACCGACTGCACATGGTCAGCAACAATACTCAGATAGTATTCAAACGATGCTTGATTGATATTGAGAGGCCACCACAAGACCATGAATTCATGCTGTTTATGCCTAATTCTGATCTGCACACTGCAGCAAAAATGTTTTTCCAGTCTTCAACCATCCAGTTTCACTGAGAATGAGCCCACTGTAGCCTCAGATTCCTGTTCTTGGCTGACAGGAGTGGAACCTGGTGTGGTCTTCTGCTGTTGTAGCCCATCCACCTCAAGGTCGAATGTGTATATGTGAGATGCTTTTCTGATCACTGCTGTTGTCAAGAGTGGTTATTCGAGTTACTGTAGGCTTCCTGTCAGCGTGAACAAGTCTAGCCATTCTCCACTGACCTCTCTCATACAGAACACCATTCTGTTTGAACTCTAGAGTCTGTTATGCATGAAAATCAGCAGTTTGTGAAATACTCAAAAAACCCTAAGTGGCACCAACAATCATGCCATAGTCAAATTCACGTAGATCACATTTTTCCCCATTCTGATGTTTGATGTTGAACAGTGCCTGAAGCTCTTGACTAACTCCTGCCACCTGATTGGCTGATTGGATAATTGCATGAATGAGCAGAAGGTGCATTATATTTTTGACTTTAACATGTAAATATATACATATAATATGGTCGCACATTTATGTATTTCCATATTTAGCATTCAATACTGTAAAACAAACACCCCAAAGTCATACATACAGGTACGTAACAAGCTATAGAGCAGTTTACCGTTCCCAGAGGTGTACAGGTACAACAAATACGTCAAGTGTTGTCCCAGAGTCAAACATGCCACATAAAGATATATACAGGTACCATGTTCCACCTTGACAGAGGCACATGGCCACTCTGAATACTGTACCACATTCAAAACACCCCAGAAACACAGGGGTCAGCAACAAGACTAAAGCACTCCAGAGACATTGCCCCATCTACTGCTTCTGATACATGTCTCTCCACTCCAGAGCATCAGCGATTGCAGAGCTGTAAAGAGCACATTTGCTGAAGCCAGATATTGTGCTTAAATTGCCAGTTTTCAGAGTAATACTCCTCTGATGCACTTAACTTCTTGAAGTATCCTCAAAGCAGAAGGATCGTTAAAAAATCATTAAAACGTGATGAGAGAAACTGCACCAGTATGAGCTTTTATAAAAATAATGTGTAGTTTTATTCCTGCCACAGTCCCCGATGCTTACTGAGTTAACAGGCCTGCTTTATGAGTTCCAGTCAAGTTTTAATTAGTCTGTTCCTGCTCATTAAAATAAATCAGGTTTCTCTTTGTTTAAGCACTTCGATAAAAGCTTAGGGCTTAATAAAGCTCAGGAGATCGCTGTTTTTAATTGCTCTGAACATATATCTCTTTCTGCGTTATGCATCTTCATCAGGAAGAGCTGTGTGTTTTACAGAGGCGTATCAGCCACTCCAGCTCTTTCTGCGGTTCAGATGGGACCTGTGGGGATTGGAGCTGAGAGCTGGTTTGAAAAATGTTTTGAAACAATATTATATTGGCTTTTTCCTTTCACACAGCATCATCAGATATTCTGAGCTAATTCCCCACCATGTTCTACATCTACCATCCTGTTTGTGTTCTAACATGTTCTAGATCTACCACTGTGTATGTGCTTCCCATGTTCTACACCTGCCATCCTATACATGTTCCACTATGTTCTACATCTACCACCCTGAATGTGCTCCACTGTTTTCTGTATTTACTATTCCATGTGTTCCACCACGTTCCATACCTACCATCGTATGAGCTCCATGTTCTACATCTACCATCTTGTATGTGATCCACAGCGTTCTATATCTGCCATCTACTATGAGATCCATAACATTCTATATCCACCGTCCTGTTTGTGTTCCACTATGTTCTAGATCTACCATCCTGAATGCGTTCCACCGTTTTCTGTATTTACCATTCCATATGTGTTCAACCAAGTTCCGTACCTACCATCCTGTGTGTGCTCCATCATGTTCTACATATACTAGCCTGTTTGTGATCCACCATGTTCTACATCTACCATCCTGGATGTGTTCCAACATTGTCTGTGTAAACCATTCCATATGTGTTCAACTACGTTCCATACCTACCGTCCTGTATGAGCTCCATCATGTTCTAGAACTGCCATCTTGTGTGTGATCCACTATATTCTAAATCCACCATCCTGTTTGAAAAACATCTTCTATATCTACCATCCTGTATAAGATCTGTCATGTTCTACCATCCTGTACGTGCCCACCATGTTCTGTACCTAGCATCCTGAATGGTTCCTTGTTCCATAGTCCACTATCTTCATTATTTACTATTCTGTACATGTCCACCATTTTCTGTATCCACCGTCCTATATGAGATTCTTCATGTTCTAAGTCTACCATAATGTATGAGATCCATCATGTTCTATGTGTGTTGGTTCTTCCTTATGCTCTTTGGGAGTTTTTCCTTTTAAGTCTTGGTTCCTCTCAGTGGTTCTTCCTCATGCTCCTAGGAGTTTGGACCCACATTTCTGGAACGATGCTTTGAGACGACGGCTTTTGTTGAAACAGCTATAGAAATATAACTGAACTTAACTGTATTGTGAGGAAATCTGGTTTGTGTATGTAGAGCTACAGTGTGAGACGTCCTCAATCAGGTCGTCTGCTTATCCTCTCTTCTTCACTCAGGAGAGTGACTACTTCACCCCTCAAGGAGAGTTCAGAGTGGACAAGGCCGGCTCACCGACCCTACTGAACTGCCTGATGTATAAGATGTCCTACTACCGCTTTGGAGAGATGCAGGTTTGTGTACTGTTGTTATTATAAACTATGTATGAACTGAAATTCTCAAAACAATGATTGCTTGTTCAAAAAAAGAGAGGTTTTGCGGAGCTCTACAGCCGAGCTGCAGAAAACTTGTTTATGGCAGTTCTTTCATAAATAATGACACTTAAAATTGAGGTCATACTAATAATATTTGGAAAATTTGATTGGTCTTCATGAAAAGAATGGGGCAATCGCTATAAAAATTCTCACTGATGAACTTTTCGAGTGTGTAACGATGACAGAGTGGACCACATGGTGCAGCCTGGGACCACAATAATAATAAAATGCGCATGTAAAATAGTCAGAATAACTGACTGACCTCATGTGATTGTATTTGTCTCGTCTTTTGATTCTCTCTTTATTTTTTTAAAGCTTGTCCTTTTTAGTGTTTGTTTAGTGTTTCGTCCAGTTTCATGCTCCTATTACAGTTTGGCAATTTGACTTCTAGTACATTTTTTTTTCTCAAAAGTTAGATGAGAAGAAAACGTAATTTCTTACGGAAATACTTTTGGCAACACTTTATTTGGGTAGCCGACTATAGATGCTAATTGCAGGGAGCCATTTGAGATTCAGCCCCAGCGTGAGAAGAGGGCGCTGCTGTATTGGTGCTAAATAAGACTCATTGTGGTAATTTGGTGACCAAAAAGTACTTATGAAGTGAAAGTTTTTACATTAAACAGTGCTGTGATATCATACGTTCATTATTATATGACAAAAAGTTAAAACATTCATGACTGCAGTGTACAGCGATGGGTGACATTCTCCTCATTCAGTGGTCCATGGTTGCTTGGCGATGATACCATACTCTAAAGGAACTACATTTTGTGGCGGAACATATTATTGTTGATACTTGCTGTCAAAAAGTTGAAAAGTTGTGTATTTTATCATATTTTATGTTGGCTGCTGTTTTATGAAAGCAATAAGCCACTTAAGGCCATGCGTTACTGTGATTTTATCACGGGGAAGGTAGTTTTACTCCACTTCACCTCGTGCCTAAGAACACCCCCCGTGGTAAAATTGCAGTAACACATGGCCTCTCGTGGCTTATTGCTTTAATAAAACACCCAAATCCTGCACATCCCTGGGTTTACGCAAAAAAAAATTAATAATTGATTTTTACATATCAGTTTTCCAGCCTCTCTTTATCCCTTAGAACTAAACAGGCTGTTTTTGTTACTGTGCCTTTAAGGCTGATGTATGTAAATGACCTCTGTTCTGATTGGCTGTCAGGTATTGCGCCTCATTCAAAAAGCAGTTTAATGAACAAATCACTTACTTGTTAAAACATTACATAGTACTAATCCTAAGTCTAAAGTTGTTGAGAACAGAGAGTTTCTACAGATAGTTTGTTAGTAATTTGAATATCTGTACATCTTAAAAAGACAGTTCTTCAAGGGTTCTTTGCATGGTGAAATGGTTCTTCAGACTGATGGAGAATGTGTTGTGGGATCAGTATAGGACCAAAAAGGATTCTTCACTTGTTACAAGCTTGACTGTCGTAACAATGGAACAATATTTTCTGGTGCTATATTGAACCATATACAACACATCCTCCATTACACCATGCAAAAAACTCTTTAAGCAGATGGTTCTCTAAGTGTTCATGGTTATATATGGAACCATTGTCTTTACTAAGAGCTACTGTTTTTAAGATAGTAGATAATCTATGCTGGCTCTCCAAATAAAGACCTGTTTTTTAATAAATCGAGAATCAACCAAGCCTTATCTTCCCTTGTTTCCCCTCTCTTCCCAGCTGGACTTCCGGACTCCGCCTGGTTTCGACCGCACCAGAAACGCTGAGATCGGAAACAAAGACATTAAGTTCCAGCACCTGGAGGAGGCCTTCACCTCCGAGCACTGGCTGGTCAGAATTTATAAAGTGAAGAAACTGGAGAACCGAGAACCGCTGGGCCACAAGCTACGCGTCACCAACACCATCCCTAAACAGAAACACACGTCCAAAAAGGTACGTGTTGTTGAGAAATGTTGCCGCTGGATATCATGTAATGCGTCCAATTTCATTAGTTTCAAGATGGTTTAGGATTTTTTCACCTGTGAATTTATAAGTTTTTCACATGTTTCTGTCACACAGGGTGCTAAAAGAAAGCGGGGCTACGTCAAGAACAAGCTGGCACTAAAAAAGGGCAAAAGACTACATAAGAAATAAACCAGTGTGGGACTCGACCGGGACAGAACGAAGAGGATGCGACGAAAACTCAACAGAGGGAAACTCAGAGCTCAGTGAAGAGGAAGCAGCCATGATGTAGAGCATCACTGTTCCACTGCAGCGTTGCTGTTCAGATGGCGCCCCCATGTGGCAGGAGGCAGCGTGTCATGTCTGGCCACCTCACATCACACCTCATATCTTAATTTTTATTCTTTTTTCATTTCGTTCCACTTTTTAATTGTAATACTTGAATGTATGTTATGGAGTTTGTGTTTGCTCTGAAAATTGTTTGGACACAGCAAAAAATGGCATCTTGTCAAGTGAAATGATCTTAAATCTAGTCGATATTTCTAATATTTCCCATTTTGAGATGGTTATGCATTATAAGATATCTAGCTTATTTCTAGACACTTTTCACTTGTTTTAAGTAATTTTATTAAGTAAAATTATGTCACAATACTGGCAGATAATTCAGCTTGTTTCATGCAGATTTCTTAGGCAAAGTTATCTGCCAGTATAGTGAGATAATTTTAATAAAATTACTTAAAACAAGTGAAAAAACGTCTGGAAATCTTAAATTAAGCTTACAGCAATCTCAGCAGGAGATATATTGTTTTTATTGACTATATTTAAGATAATTTTACTTGACAGGACACCATTTTTTGCAGTGTAGGTGGAGAAATGGCCTGTTAGTGCAGTTTCTACTAGAGTTACACCAAAGAGCCCTTGATTTTGCCTGATATAGCTTCACCGTCTGTGGCTGAGTGAGGAGCTGGTCAGGCTGGTTTGAGTTCCTGACACGTTTATCTGTATGCGGAATGGAGGAACACAGCCTGGCAAAACTGAGCTCAGTTCATTCTCCAGCAGCTCTGCAGACACACTCAGTATGAATGATGTTTGAAAGGGTTCTAAGATACTGGCCTGTTGTGATCATTTTTAAAGGTGTGTTGTTATTTTTGTTGTTTTGTTTATGTCTTTATTGTGTATTTTGACAGGGTTTAGGGTTATGAATGCAATAATCATCAAGCTGGATGTTTTTCATGAATGTGAATTTTATTTGCTTTTAGCCTGTAATATTAAATTCAGCCAATTTGAGCAAAAAAAAAGTCATATTTTCAGCTTTTTTTCATTTAGCCCATATAGTAAGTACATACAGTCGCATGCAAAACTTAAATTACATGTTTTAAGTTAAATATGACATTTATCTGCAAATTTTAGTGCACAATCTCTGCTTGTTAGAGTTTAATATATTGGAAAAAAATAAAAAATATGATATAAAAAGTGCTATAACTTTTGCAGAGGCCACATTTTATGCTTATCTTTTCCCCAATATGCTAAATTCAGCAAATAAGCAGTGATTGTGCATTAAATGTTTTCTGTAGAGGATGTACTTAATCAAGAAAACGTCGTTTGCATACGACTGTATATCGTTGCTCTCATATTTCCAAACTTAGTCATTTCTCATTGTGTGAAACTTTTTTAATGTGAATGGACCAATAGAAATGGTTCAATATTATTTAGAGTAAAATCTTGATCCATTAACTTGCATTAAAGTTGAGAACGTTTTCTTTACGTTGCCATTATGGAGGTAAAAGGTTTGGTTACGGCAGCAACGATAATAAGTTTTCATCACAAACGCCAGTTAAGATGCTGAATGTAATTTTTGCTGTTAAACATCGTTGCCTGGCCTGCAGTTTCTTTATGTAATCATCTCATGTACATGATATAAAGACCAGAGGCTTTCCACCCGTTCTTCAGGGACCCTCAGATGGTCCACATTTTTGCTCCAACTCCTAGGGATAGAGCGAAAATGTGGACCATCTGGGGGCCTGGAGGTGAGAGATGATCGTAATTAGCTGAAGTCCACTGTTCCCCCACAGTGAAGTTCAGGCCCCCTCAGAGTTCTACTCATAAATAAGTACTGGGTAAACACATCATTGTGTGCTCATATTTAGACAAGCTGGCTTCATTAAGCCAGACACACACTGTGCAATTTTAGCCCATCTTTAAAGCTGAACTGGCTTCACCCGACTTCAGAATCAGCTTCATCAGCCACCGCTTGACAGGGAAGCAATTACCTGCCCAAACGAGCTCCAACTGAACAGCCCGACTTCTGGACGGGTTTCTTATGTAAGATATTTTGATGGCTTGTCTTGCAGTTTGAGCAGATCTCACCAACCAGTTTCTCCAAGTCTCACAAACACTAAATCACAGCTACTACACAGGTGATCGCACGTAGGCTAACAAAACAGAGGCGAAAATGACATTTGCAAGTTTATATATGCCGGCTTTGCTCTGTTTGACTGAAAAATAGGCTGTAAAGTGCAGGTGTCCTGTCCAGCCCTGGTCCTGGAAATGTAACACCCCTGAATCAGGTCATGAAGGCCTTCATGGGCAGCCAGGTATGTTGGATCTGAGCTATCCACAGCGGTAGGTCTCCAAGACCTGGGGCCGGATTCACAAAAGTGTCTTAAAAAAGAAAATCTTCTTAAATGTTTGTTTTTTCTTAACCTCATTCTTAAGAAAAAAGTTCTTATGAATTCTATCGTTTTGTTTCTAAAAATGTGTTATTCTTGAAAATATTATGTTCTAAAATGTTTTAACCTTACGACAGTCTCAAACGTCTTAGGCTGTAAGTTGACTTCTAAATTTATCACAAATGCTGCCTCTGCTGCGCCTCATCCTCGTCTGTCACCCCACAGTTATGATATTTCCCCTGTTGGCTGTTTCTTCCTCCATCACTTCTAGTTCTTGTTTGCTAAATTTATGATTAGTTTGATGTTTTGCTCCATTTTGCTCCTCTGAGCGGATTAACTAATAACAGAAATAACAGTTAATATAAATTCAAAATGTATTTTGTGGCATTTATGGTACAGGGCAAAATGCAGCATAGCCTACTTAAGAGAGAGTGAAGAAAATTCATTATTTTCTTGAGAAAGTCTTAAATAATTAAGATGGTCTTAAGTTCTCTTAACTTAATATTCTTTTAAGGTTTTTTTTTTTGAGAATTAGATTTAAGAACATTCTTATGAACTTCTTTGTGTTTGTCCTAAGAACCTTCACAAGTTTTTTTCTTAAGAAAGCTTTCTAGAATTTGGCCCCCTGACCGTAGAGAGACTGCATGGTCCCACCCATTTAGATATAATGGGTAAAACCACCGCCTTCCACTCAGCCGACTAGGGATTGATTATCCGCCTGGGCAAGAACACCATGCTATGCCAATGAGTCCTTGGGCTAGACTCCTAATGCTACTTAACACTACTATCTGCCGACTTCTGTAACATTATTAAAATTGCAAGTTGCTCGGGACAAAAAAATTGTGCCAAATGCCATAAATGTTAGCAAAGAGGTTATGTTTCATGTGCCATGTGAACCCACATCACATCAGCCAGACAGTGTGAACCATGGCCGTAGGTGATGAGTTATTCAAAACTGCTGTGTGAGTCGCCAAATAACAAGGCTTCTAAAATTGCACAGTGTCTGTCTGGCTTCATTAAGGATGTTTTCCCACGTCAAACACAGACTGTTCATCATTTTTAAGAAGTCTTAAACATTTTAAGCAGATGCAGATTGTAGACTCTTTTTAACAGAACGTAATTACCTTCATTTCAGCCTCCACAGCTCCTCAAACAATGAGTCTGTATTTACATTTCACATCCTTATTTTCATGTTTTCATTTAAAACCTCTACCAGGAATTCTCCAACACGGCAGCCAACTGTGAGGAGAAACGTCTAAAAATAAATATAAATATTAAAACCAATTTTGTTAAGCAGATTGTGGTTTTAATGAGGAACTGCACTGATAAACACCATTCTGAGATATTGCTTTAATATCCACAGAAAATGAACAGTGGGTTAATTAGCGCTGTGGTTTTTCCCAAATTCACTTCTTGATAGGTCTTCAGCTGTGATCGTCCATAGTGGACTGAGCCTCATGAGGTCTGTGAGGTTTCTGTATCACTGCTCAATGTAAATATGAGTAAAAAATATCAGTAAATATGTAAAAAGCCGTCTAAATTCTCCATAAATGGGGTATTATCGCCCACAAACATTTTTTCAATCTTTTGTTGATTGGGGATGTCTCTCTATGATCGGTCACTGGTGAAATATCTCTCCTTCAACATTAGCGTCCTTACACATAGTGGCAAAGGCTGATGTTCAGTTCCTGCAGGCCGAGAAATTATAGAGAAAGTACATATCGAGATAACAACAATGCTTAGGATAGTATAAATTCACTGGTCGTTTCTGTTCTACAAGCAGCCAATATGATAGAAAAAAACATCAGAATGTTCAAACCAGCTTGTGGTGATCGATTTATTCATGGAACACATTTATTTTTTATCATCCTAAGGAAGCGAACTTGTAAAACTGTAGAATCTCCTCGGACTCCACCTTTAAGCAGGAAATGTTGGTCTGAATGCTGAGAACTTGCACTTTTTAGAGGATGCCTCTGTGGAGTGCCTCATGGGTCAATACAGGGCCCAAAAAAGATTTTTCCTAAGAGTTCAGACTTTCAGCTCTTTCACTGTGTGCGATAGGAACTCAGTGATCCAGAAGGTACGAATGAGGATGTTTCCTGACTGTCATACTGCTGAATATGTAGAAGCAGTGTTTTATTTTTTGCTCTATCCAGACTCTGAATGTTCATTTCTGTATAATTTCTTCATGTATGTCTGGGGACACTTTGTTCTTCTCTGCCATTGTTCTGCTTGCTGTATTTGTGGTATTTATGTGCAGGTGAAAAAAAAAATAGGAATGCAGTTTTGTAATTTATTATTGAAATATGTGCTGACAGCCAGGTGGTAGGATTTCAGGATGTAGATGAGCCTTAATGAGATGTGCATCTCTTGTTTTTTGATTGATGATTTCTGTAAGGATTACATTGATTCCCTTTTGTTTATGAGTTTTTGAGTTTTTGTTTAGCCAGAACATAATTGCCTTTTTTTCCATCTCTCATTTTCTCAGGTTGTTTCTTTTTTTTCCTCCTGCCACAACCTTTTTTGGTGTTTGTTTTACAGATTAACTGTCTGAATTGTTTGGATTGGCCAAGTTGCAATATGGACAAAATAAAAAAGGAAACATTCAACTTTGTAAAAAAAAAAAGTAGTCGTACTTCTGTTACATTAACCTATCATCGATTTTGGTGCACTGTATTTGGGCACAATGCACTTCTGGGTGCACTGCTGTGGTTGACCATAAGAGGGCAGTGTGAACTTACATTTATAGTTGGCAACCAATTCCAACTTTTTTTCTTTTTCCAATTAAAAATAATAATAAATAAAATGATTTAGTACTGAGTACCTCAGTTATTTGCAGACACAATTAGAGTAATTAAAATGTCTAAATCTTCAGAAAACAGCGACAACGTTTTAATTTGTTTCTTTTATTAGCAGTTGATTAACAAGCAGTAGCAAATAACAGTCAGGACATTTCAAAACACGATAGAGACGCACTGTGATTGCCATGACGGTTATCTAAAACAATAAAAATGTGTGAGTGTGAGTTCCCACATTCGTCCACCGGAACATTTGATAAGCCTAATTATATCCACCAAAAAACAACTTTCCACCCCAACATGGCTTTTAAAACTCAAAGCTGGAAGGCCCTAATTAACATCATGCTAACTGGGAGCTGCAGGCTTTTACTCATTAGCCCTGTTAGCATTTCGAGACCTGTTCCTTTAAGACATATTATCTGATTAAGCTAGAAACCAACAGAAAGTGCCTCAAAGTCAAGTGTAAAGTGGGCACTAAAGTTGAGGCCTCTGTGTGAACAAAAGTGCAAAGTGATAAGAAACAAGTGTCTTTAAAAAAACGAGTGTCTGTTTCCAAAGATCTGAATCCGTTACCTGCTAAATCTCTGAGTGAAAACGGTGAGGTATAATACTGACCCATTCCCCCTAAACTACACAGAGTCAAATCTCATTTTCTCCTCAATTACTCCTAACAATGCCATCCTGTTGAGGCCCATTAAAGATCAAGTCATCGGGACTGACCTACATGCAGGCATCAAAGAGAAATGATTGAGAAGACATGGCAGGTCATTTTTCATCTAACTGAATGAGGGTCTTTAGCAATGCTACAATTAGCCAACGGGGTCACTGGGCCATACATTCATCTCAGAAGGTTCTTTCAGGGTTGGAAAAAGAGAAGCGACCACTGAGACTGATCTAATCTCTCTGGAAGGTCCGCATTAAACTTTTAGAAGAGAAAACTTGAGGGTTTCCCAGGTGGTTGTTATGATATGAAACTCTTGGAAGCTTCTGCATTGATGGTCGATGATAAAAGAAAGAAGCACCACATGGAAAATCACTTCAGACGCACCATGCACAGGTAGGTGTGAATGCAAACCAAAGGCTTGGGTGAAAAATAGAATATATTCTACATACTGTATATATATATAGTATAATATTGTTATATAAAAGTAGTCTACTATAACAGTTTCTAAGTTTAGATTGTATGTAGAGAATAAAGAACTAGTACCTTTTTTCTCACCTTAAAGTTCATCTAAAGTTCATCAACGCCAAGAGGCAGCAATAATAATTCAAAGCCTGTTTCTTCTGTTTGGTCCCGTTTGTCCACAAGTCTTCTTGCGTTGTCCTGCTCAGCTCTCGTCTCTCCAGAGTTTGAAGTGGACCTGAGGCTGCCAGTGTTAGAAGTGTGTCCAGCTTTTAGAGGCAGTGTCCAGGGACTGCTCAATGGGTTTTCCATAAGGGGTTATTGTAGACCCAGCCATCACCCTACAGAGAAACACACAGCAGCAGAGAGTGAAGATGGGCTCACTAAACACACAACGTGTGGTCATCAGCTGTATTCCAGCCCTGACTTTGAATGTTTCATCGACATAATCAAGGATTCTGTGGATGCACATCCAGCTGTAAAGCCAATAAGAACCTTCTTCAAGACAACTCCAAATAAAAGCTGAGTAATGTTTTTAGTGAGTGGACACAGTGGGGATGGGCTACAGCAGCACCAGAGCATCGTCGCTGTCCAAAGAAAAAGAAATACCTCCAAAATAGGATCTTTACACAAGGGGGCAAAAACCTTCTTTACTTTCAATGGAAGTTAATGTAAAAAGGTTTCTCTGTAGGTGTTTCTGGAGCACGTCTGTTGGTCCATTCATCATGAGATTTTTACACAGTGTAAAGCGCAGCTGCCATTTTCAAATGATGTAGAAAAAAAAATTTTGAAAAAAATTGGAGATACATGTTTTTCTTTGGTCAGCGACGATACGTAGAGCCAGTTTCACTCATTTTCCCCACTTCAGTCACGCTGTGTTTAATTCTGCTTCAGTGCTGCAGCATGCTGAAAATGTGGGGCTGAGGGGTGTCAATCACAGGTACTTATTAGAATATTAAGCCACACCCAGACTATTAGTAGAAAGGTCTTACCAGCATTTTCTAAGCCATGTTTTATTATACGTTTATGTTGATTTTATTCAAACATTACTAGATGTTTAATATAACACAAATTTACAATCAAAGAAACATTTTTAATAATCTTCAACACGCGGCTCTTTTACTGTCCTGTTGCGGCTCCACAGCAAAATCAGATTAGTAGGTAAAAATAAAATAATCCTCCTTTACAGTAAAATAAAGCTCTGCTGATCGTTCAACACAGTTTAACAATAAATGGTCTTAAACTCAGAACTGCTAATTCACCCTTTAACACTGAAGATTAGCGCAGACTGCTGGTCATCATAGCAACACAGACAACAATCTCGCCAGTAGCTAACGAAAAGGCAAAGAGGTTTAAGGCAGACATTGATAATTTGGTGATTAAAGGATGTTTATAATCACTCCAGCTGGTTTTCTGATACGTTTAATCTGCATGGAGAAACTGACAAACACTAAAAAGTCACGAAGCTGAAGTTTGCGTTCAAATTCTCCTGTTCCACTTTAAATGGTGTCTGAGGTGCCAGAATGTAACTGCTATAACTGCTAAGTTGAAGCTGGTGAATGAGAAGCGACTTCAGCCTCGCAAAAAATTGAACATTAAGAGACATTTCAAAAGAAACTGTTCTACTTTTGTGGAAATGTTTCCTGCCGGAGATGCGAGAAAAGCGGCTATAGCTAAGCTAAAACTTAAAGCAAAACAAAGTAAGTCTGCGTTTTTGTTTATATTTTTTAGCTTATGCTAGTAGCACATATTGAGACATATTTACAGTGAAGATGATAAAATTGATACAAAGCGTTCCACTTTAAATGGTGCAGCAGTTACATTTAGGCCTCAGGCACCATTTAAGGTGGAACAGGAAAATTTGAACCACAAAAGGCGAATGAGAAGCGACTTCAGTCTCACATAAAGTCAAACATTAAGAGACGTTTTACAAGAAATTATTCTACTTTTGAGGAAAAGTTTCCTGCTGGAGATGCTTAAAGCAGAGCAAAGTAAGTCTGCGTTTTCATTTATATTAATTTTTTTATCCTATACTAGTATATTAACACACACTGAGGCATATTTACAGCAAGATAGTAAAATGGGCATTAAGTGTTGTGGCTCCCAAGGTGGTTTGATTTTTCTTGAAAGGACAAAATGGCTCTTCATAACATTTGGGTTGCCACCCCTGGACTAATGTTTATGCAATGCACCACTGGATATTTATGAATAGCTCTTGTAATACTTGTTTGGTGATTTATGTGGCTGGCGATATATTATTAGTACCTGTTTGGTGAAGTATTTGGGTTTCCATGGTGACCCACTGTCTGCTCTCTGTCTCTCCTCTTCCCGCTGCCCCTCCTCCAGCTGATGCTTGTGTTCTGTCGCTGCATCGATGTTGCCCTCTTTCAGCGCACCGGTGACGTGCTGCCACAGCCGCCTAGACGATACAGACACAAATAATCAAAATGAGCCCAAATTATACTAAACACATCACCAAGTTTGATATATTTCAATCCCTTAAACGCTGTAATACCTAATAAACGTCTTTATATTAGTATAAAATCTCAAGTTCAATAGTACTGAATAATTTGTAGTAGTTACTGAAAAATGTACAGTAGTTATTGAATAATTTAAGGCATTTACTGAATTTACAGCTGTTAATGAGTCATTTATAATAGATGCCAAAAATTGAATGAATAATGTAGATTTATAGTAGGTCATAAATGATTCATGGTGCTTACTGAATAATTCATAGCAGTTACCAAAAAATATAAGCAGTTTCTCAATGGTTTACAGAAGTTACTGAATACACAGCAAAAAATAGTATCTTGTCATGTGAAACGATCTTAAATCTAGTCAATATATCTAATATTTCTTGTTTTGAGATGTTTGTGCACTTATTATAAGATTATCTAGTTTATTTATAGACTTTTTTTTAACCTGTTGTAAGTAACTTAATTAAGTCAAATTATCTCGCTATCAGTACTGGCGGATAATTTTGCTGGTTTCAAGCACATTTCTTAAAACAAGCACAATCATCTGCAAATATAGTGAGATAAATTTACTTAATAAAATCACTTTAAACAGGCAAAAATGTCTAGAAATAAAGTAAATAATCATAAAATTAACTAACAACAATCTCAACAGGAGAAATATTAGATTTATTGACCATATTTAAGATCATTTTACTCAACAAGATACAATTTCTTGCAGTGTAATTTATAGCAGCTATTGAATAAGTCATAGTTGATACTGACAAAATGTAGTAGTTACTGAATAATTTTCAGATGATACTGTAAAATTCATTTGAGTTATATTTTATTGTGATTTGAATTTGATGAAAAGTCTGATTTTGTGGAGGGTGGAAAAGTGATATGTAATTGAATATGTAACTAACTGACCTGGACTCAGTCCGGCTCTGCTTCTCCACTGGCCGGATCAGCTTCTTTATGACGGGCAGTTTGGTCGTGTCGATAACTTTGGTGTCTGCGCTGCTGTAGCTGAACTCCAGAGTACCGTTCCACTCGCCCTGAGCCTTGCACACGATGGTGCCCGTCGAGTTCTGTTTCACCTCCGCTGTTACCCTAAAACACACAGACACATCTAGACGTTCTACCAAAGTTCAAACCTGTGGTCCCACAATAAAAGCACTCTTAAAAAGGGCTCTTTAGTAAAGAAAATGGTTCTATATAAAACCATGAACACTCAAAGAACCTTAAAGGGTTCTTTGCATCATGAAACAGTTATTCAGACTGATGGAGAATGTGCTGTAGATGGTTCTATACTGAACCTTTTTGAAAGGGTTCTATAAGGCACCCAAAAGCATTCTTCTATTGTTATGGTGTGAAGTTTGTAACAATAGAAGAACCCTTTTGGGTGCTATATAGAACTGTCGAAAGCACATTTATGCACGTTTTCCATCAATCTGAAGAACGCTTTCCTGATGCAAAGAACCCTTTAATCATGCAAAGGGTTCTTTGAGTGTTCATAGTTCTATATAGAACCATTTTTCATTACTAAAGAACTCCTGAATCACCATTTTTAAGAGTGTATTTAAAAAACAATCAATAAAAGTTAAAGACAAGTACTGAAGCCTTAGATATTTAGGACTATATTATGATCCATTCAAACCCAAAGCATTAGTTGAGATAGTAACTTTGCATTTGGTAAAGTTTGGGTAGTGTTTGTTCTGCAGTGGCAAAATGGAGCATTTAATCATTTCATAAATAAATAAAGAAATAAAGAAAGATATAGCATCACTCAATGCAGAAGGATTTAAGCCTAAAGTTCAAGTCACTGGCCACTTTATTAGAAACACCTACCTCGTACTTCCATTAACTGGCCACTTTATTAGAAACACCTACCTCATACTTACATTAACTGGCCACTTTATTAGAAACACCTACCTTGTAGCTCCACTAATTGGCCACTTTATTAGAAACACCTACCTTGTGCTTCCACTCACTGGCCACTTTATTAGAAACACCTAACTCACAGGTCTTACTATATAGGTTTACAATTACAGACTGTAATCTGTCTGTTGCTGTAAAGTTTAGCATCGGCTCTCTGCCACCTTTATCATTGGTCCAGTGACACAGACATGGTAGTGTGTGGGGCGTTGATATGAGTGTGTCAGACGCAGCGGTGTTGTCAGTTGTCAGTGTCACTTTTTGGCTGAGAGTGGACCACCACCCAAAAATATCTAGACAAAAGAGGCTAAGTGGTCAGAAACTGACCACTGATGAAGAGCTAGTGGCAGGCCTTGACCATCTAAGGGGTTAAGGCTACTATAGTTAACTAGGCTAATTTAGTAACTAGTTAATGGTAAAATTTCAGCATCAAGGCTCTGAAGGGCACAGTAATAATATAAAAATCAAGAATGTTTTGACCAGAATCTGTGGGCATGATGAGCATATATCGAAGGCATTAACACAAACTGTGCATCAATCAATGGTCTCTAACTATTCACCAGCAAGGTGGAGGGGTTTCAGATAAAGTGGACAGCAGATAAAGGACAGCATTTTAAAAAGAAAGAAGCTTTTATGTTCTGTATGTGTCTCATACTACAGAATTACAAACAACTACTGTTGCACACAACAAATCAGTTGTTATAGAGCAGACAGGCACCTTTATTACAGAGAAAGGATGTAAAATAATGCTGTGACGTGGCTCAGACACACCTGTGCACTTTTCCCCCGTAGAAAGGCTTGGTGTGGAAGGTGACTGTAGCAGAGTATCCGCTCTTAGCGCAGCTGATGGTCACTTTCCCCCCCAGCTCCACCCACGGGACAGTGAGGATGGAGCGGGCGTAAGCAGATGGCAGAGTAAACACATACTCCTCCCCATGCTCCAACAGGCTCAGCACACCTGCAGGGGTAAACGTCAGAGGGCAGTGCTGGGTAAACACAGAGTCACTTTATGTACCACCTGAAAAATGGTAAAGGGACCCCTGCCTTACTGTCATACTCAACATCTTTCCTATGTTTTTATCCTGTATGTGGGCCACACTGTCAGAAAGAAGGTACAGAACCAGTACATTTTTCATTCATCAAGATATAAACAACGTAAATGTACCATCAATGTTGGAACAACGGTTTAAGGTCCAGCTGTATACCTTACCTGAGGTTTTCCCAGGGAAAAGGTACGTATTTTGTACCTTTTCATAATGTTTTAAAACAGAGCCATAAAATTAAAAGCCTGATGATGAGACAGGAGTCGATGCAAATTAAAAACATATATCTAAAGTGGATTATGGTTGCGTTGAGTAACTAAAGGTACTGAAGACGTATCCTTGAGGGCACCATACACTGACAAGAGGGGCACCAACCCAGTTACAGTTAAGTACCTTATTTTCTGATACAATCAATTCCCAAAACCTACAAACATCCAACTGTACCAAAATGTATTTTTGAGATAAAATGTATTACAAACACACAACATGCATTAGTTATAATGTTCAGATTTAAGATGGCTCAGTTTTGGGGCCATTTCTGAAAAATGACATTTGGGGACATTTCTGAAAAACCATTATAGGACCCTCTATAGGACCAGCTGTAGGACCAACTTGTCACATCTCCCACCGAGAATGCCTTCTCTGCTAGTTCCCTCTCTCCTGCAAGCTCACTGTCAAGAACTCTATTTCCCATGAGTCTGTGGGGAATCACCTGACTCCTCCGTCATCACCATCAGCCAAAAGACTCCCTTTCCAGCGCTCCAGTTTGAAGTTCATACACCTGTTTCTATGTCTCATGACCTGTTAGATAGTATTAAAGCCTCGGCTTTAGTTTTGCACTTTGTACCGTATTTCCTAGTCTGTAAGTCTACTTGTGTATGACCTGTTTTTCGTGCTCTCTGTGTTGGCCTTAGCCTGTTCTGACTATGCCCTTTGTCTTAACCCTGAAAACTCAAGTAAAGTCTAACCATCTTTTCCAATCTGCAAGAGTCGAATCTGTTTTGATATCATAACACAACTGTTGGACAAACTATGAAAACATCTGTAGTTCTAACTATAGGGTCAACTGTAGTACCAACTATTACACATTTACAGACCAGATTTACAGATTTTAAGACCAGCTACATGTTTAACTGTAGGACCCTCTGTTGGACAACCTGTAGGGCCATCTGAAGGACCTGCAACAGGACCAACTATATGAGCAACTGTAGGACCCTCTGTTGGACAATCTGTAGGACAGACTACAGGACTGTATACAGGAGCACCTGTACGACCAACTACAGGATCAACTATATGAGCAACGGTAGGACCCTCTGTTGGACCACCTGTAGGACCATCTGAAGGACGAACTACAGGCCATCTGTACGTCAAACTACAGGAGCAACTATATGAACAACCCTATGACCCCCTGTTGGACAACTTGTAAGACCAACTATAGGAACAACTATAACACCATCTGTAAAACAACTATAGGGCCAACTATCAGACCAACTGTATAGGTAGGACCATCTGTCAGAACTGTAAGACCAATAGAAGGACCCACTATAGCACCAACTGTAGGGTAGACTACAGGACCAACTATAGGACCATTGTTAGGACCAGTGGTAGGACAAAATATAGGACCATCTATCTGACCAACTTCAGGACCATGTGTAGGACAAACTGTAGGATCAACTATAGGATGAACTATACAACCAATTATCAAAGCATTAATACCAACTATTGAAGCAACTGTAGGACCATCTGTAAGACCAACTATATGAACAACTACAGGACCCTCTGTTGGACAACCTATAGGACCATTTTAAAGACAGACTATAGGACACTGTTGGACAGCCTATGGGGCCATGTGAAAGACCAACTCTAGGACCAACTATAAAGCCATACTAATACAGGGCCAACTATCAGCCAACTGTGTTGGTAGGACCAATTATACGATGAATCGTAGAATTGTAGAATTATCAAAGCAAGATAAGAGCAAGTATTGAAGCAACGGTAGGACCATCTGTATGACCAACTGTACTGTGCTTGGAAGTGGACTCTGCAGGAGTTGGTGCCAATAAACACTGCAAAAGCAGTGCATCTGGCCTTGAAAGCTGTTCAGAGCAAATTATCTTTGAGACCAAGGCTTTTGCTGCTGCTTTGATCATTTGATGTTATTATGGCACACATGGGTCAGTCACGTCATCAGAATATGTGCATGTGGGTCATTTCTGGGAGCAGGTTTGTGCACAGTAAAGACAGATACAGGTCATCTATCCACATACTTGTAAACCATCAATGCAGAAAGATCATATCTGAGCAAAATATGGGAAGCAATGAAGCTGTTTTATGAACGTAGCCGGTGAGGGTTTTCCAGGTTCTTTGGTATGACTGTGCATAAATGCTTCTGTGCTCCATCTTACCCAACCTTAGCCTTAACCTCTGCAGCCGAAAGATCAGCTTTGGGCTTTTTTAGCTTTTCTAATGAAGGCTGCAATTTTGGCCACACACGCCCACTTCTAAGAAAATGTTAATGTTTTACTGTCCTGGTGATCCATGGAAAAAAACCCACACACATGCTATCAGTGACCAAGGAGAATGACTCAAGCCTACCTCCAGAAAGCCCTGCCGTGAATAAGGATTATTTACTCCTGCATGCCAGCACTGTATCATGACTCATGTTCTATAAAAATCTTCCTGACATGACTCAACTCCCACGACGATTCAAATCAATACCCAGTGATCCACTTCACTCCCACACTTGAATCGTAAAAGACCAGGGAAGCGTCACTGAGATCGAACATTATCAGAGCCAGATTTCAAAACTGACATCAGGAGGACAAAATGCAGAATCCAAAAAAAAAAAAATGCCACTCAGAATCTTACTATTACTGTACTACACCAACCAGCCACTTTATTAGGTACACCTACCTTGTATCTACACTCTTTACGCTCCAGCAGCACTGCTGTGTCTGATCCACTCAGACCAGACACAGCACAACACACACTAACACACCACCACCACATCAGTGTTACTGCAGTGCCGAGAATGATCCACCACCCAAATAGAACCTGCTCTGTGGGGGTCCTGTGGGGGTCCTGACCACTGAAGAACAGGGTAACAAAGTATGCAGAGATACAGATGGACTACAGTCTGTAACTGTAGAACTACAGAGTGAAACTATAAGGTCAGTGGAGCTGATAAAATGGACAAAGAGTGTAGATATAAGGAGGAGCCTCTCTGTGCTTCTTTTTCTGGTCAAAACAGAAAAGCTCTACACAGCCCTCTCGTAGAGAATACTCACAGAAACTCATCTGGAGCTGTGATTAGGTGCTCACAACACACAGCAAAAAAAACACTGTGATTGGTTGAGGGCTAGAGGGCTCATTTAAACATAACAGTCTTCTCCGATATCAGCATTGCAAAGGCTAAGATTGCAATAACAATGAACAAAGGACTGAGCAGCCCTACTTGAAGCTCAGCTCCAGATCCTCAGTACTGCACATCAGGAACTTTGTTAGAGACAAACTGCACATATTACTCTCATATCAGAGCTGAATCTCACCTCAACCTGTGAACATCCTTCTCATTACTCTGATTAAGCAAAGTGCAAATCAGCCAAAGAGACTGTCTATCTCACATGTGTCAGGCTCCAGTCCTCGCAGGCCAAAACACTGCAGACTTCAGAGCACTGCCTCATTAAACACACCTGATTCAGCTCATTAGCAAAGCCTTCATGAACTGAATTCAGAGTGTTAGATGAGAGTAAACAATGATCCCCACAGCACTTTGGCTCAGAAGGTCCCCAGTTTGACATGCCTGGTCTATCTTATCCAGGCTACTCAGTTGCTAACACACAGTCCTTTCGTTGTTTTTAAAGAATAGTGTTGCGATCATTTATTCATTCATCCATTCAAGTGTCCATGGCTACAGAGGTATATCTGTATCTGCAGACCCTCATTATCCAAGGCTAATACAGATACAATGAAGACCTGAGTCTCTTTTAACTTGAGAAAACAATCATTTTGATAAAGCACTAGACAAGTAGTAATATCCTTGGTTTCACAATGATCTAATCGTTTGTGATAGTTTTGCAAAAAAAATCTATTTTATAGACTTTCCTTACAGTAAAAGTAGTTGATTAGTTAAAACATGCCTGATATCTGCTTCTTTAGCTGATCAGTCTTGTCTGATTGACAATAGTTAATCCTGCTTTGTAACTGATGCCCACTTGTCAAGCTTGTTCAGTTTCACAGGCCAGAAAAAAGAGTCATTTTTAGATGACTATTTTCCCACCTCTCTTTATTCTTTAGAATTCAACAGGCTGTTTCTGTTACTGTGCTTGAAAGACTGATGTGATAGTTAATATTTCAGCTCAGTTCAGTCATTCTGTAAGCAGTTAAACTCAATATTTAAGATGCATGTTGGAGCCAAACTTTCTAATGTCATTACTAAAAAATAAATTGGACCACAGCTTTGAAATGAACAAAGTTTTAGCCTTGAATACTTTCATGGAAATCAAAACACTCCTTATAACTTCAACTTGAATGGGCGGGGCTAAATGGCTATGGGCCATTACATAAATGTATTGTTTTTTTAAATAATTGAAAACATGCTGTTTTTGACTGTAGCTTCCATTTAAAGACACTCTAAAGAGTGAACAATGTTTGAGTATGTCAGCATCATAAACTGAGGGAAATTCATATTTCCATGACATGGACACTTTAAAACAGCTCCAGCAGGTAAATCTAGGAGACAGTCTCTCACCTTCCCCCACCATGGACACTCCCACAGACATGCCCATGAACTTGCTCTTGGTCCAGACGTGAACATTCACGCACATCTCTCTCTCTCGGCACTCGCAGTAAAACGCTGACACCGGGGGATGATGGGAAACCTGCTCAGCCACAAATCGCACCCGATAACTCCCTGACCCCATCTCCGCCGCCTCCTGAGTGGCCCCTGGCCCGGCGGAATGTGTTTGAGTCCTGAGGGGTCTCACTTTGTCCCGAGGAACCTCCCAAGAACAGTGGAATGTTTCCCCCAGGATGGGGTTATACGGCTTTTTGGCCACGGCACCCTTACGTCCTTCGTGGAAGGCGGTTAGGTAATACTCCACAAACCGCACCATCCGCTCCTCAGGGGTCGCTCCCGTGGAGACAGCCAGGAACATGTCCGGATGGGCCATGAAGTTGGCGTACATCTCCAGCAGGGAGCGCTTCTCCAGGATAAACGTAGGCAAAACAACCTGAGGAGAGAGAGGATATGCACTAGTGTTATTTACTGGAGCAGTAAACAAACTGAGACAGTGGACAGTTGTTTACTGTTTATTCTTTATTGCCCACTTACGTGTGCATGTACGTACCCGTGTGAGGTCCATGCCCAGTTTAAGTTGTGACAGCAGGTGTAGAATGACACTCCTCTGGTCCTCCAGAACCCCCAGCTCCTCCTCCACATTCTCCTCAGTGTCCATCACTTCTTCACTGGGCGAGACCAACTCTACACCAGCCTGAGACACGTAAACAAACACAGGAAGAGAAAGAGGAAAGGAGAAAATACTTCGGCTAAATGTGTTTGTGAACTTTTAGCTCATGTAACAGTGGTAGTCATATTGACAGAATATCTACAATTGCATGTAGACGACTGAAAATATCTATGGTTATGCATTTATATCACATATACATATATCTACTGAATATAGATTGTAATGATACCTTTGGTTATGTATTGGATATTGTTTGTAATGATATCTATAGTTATGTGCTGGATATCCTTTGTAATGATATCTATGGTTATGTGCTGATATTACTTGTAATGACATCTATGGTTATGTGCTGATATTAATTGTAATGATATCTATGGTTATGTGCTGGATATCGATTGTAATGATATTTATAGTTATGTACTGGATATCGATTGTAATGATATGTATGGTTAGGTGCTGGATATTAATTGTAATGATATCTATGGTTATGTGCTGGATATCGATTGTAATGATATTTATAGTTATGTACTGGATATCGATTGTAATGATATGTATGGTTAGGCGCTGGATATTGTTTGTAATGATATCTATGGTTATGTACTGGATATTAGTTGTAATGATATCTATGGTTAGGTGCTGGATATTGTTTGTAATGATATGTATGGTTATGTACTGGATATTGATTGTAATGATATCTATGGTTATGTACTGGATATTGTTTGTAATGATATGTATGGTTATGTACTGGATATTGTTTGTAATGATATGTATGGTTATGTACTGGATATTGTTTGTAATGATATCTATGGTTATGTACTGGATATTGTATAATACAAAGAAGAGTATTTTTCTTCTGGCTGCTAGAACTGTGTTTGACACATTTCACTCCCAGCACAGCTTTTCTAGATAAACCCAAATGTGCATGTCAAATATCACTGCTGTATGAATGACTTATTAACATCCCTAAATAAATAATAAAAGAAAATTACATTAATGCTAATAAATCAGAGAGTAGGATGGTGAGGGTGAAGCTGCAGTATCAGTGCTGGAGAAATAGGTCACTGCTTTACTGCCTAATATACACAAAGATAGAGAGAGAGAGAGAGAGAGAGAGAGAGAGAGAGAGATGAGCAATATAGGTTAAACTAGAGCACAGGTCATTCAGAGAGAGAGATGGAAAAAGTAAGAGAGAGGTAGAGAGAGAGAGAGAGAGAGAGAGAGATGAAGTGAGAAAGAGACAGAGAGGGAGAACGGAGAGAGAGAGAGAGAGAAAACTATACTGTATAAGGTGGGAAGAAAAGAAAAGAGGACAAGAGGAGAAATGAGAAGAAAAGAGAGAAGATGAGAAGTAAAGAGAAGAAAAAAAAATGTGAACAGACAAGAAGAGAAGAGAAGAGAAAAGCAAAGAGAAAAGGAGAGAAGAGGAGAGATGGAAAGAGGAGAGAAAAGAAGAGGAGAGAAGAAAAGAGGAGAGAAGAGTAGAGAAGATAAGAGAAGAGAAGAGTAGAGGAGAGAAGAAAAAGTATATGCATACATATGTGTGTATAAATTCATGTAAACATAATCTCAGATTTGAGATATATAAGTTTATAGAAATATTCTCTCAAATTCAACCACACACACACACACACACACACACACACACACACACACACTGCTACTGTTGCGTTTACAGTATCAAGGGAGAACGTGGGTCAAAGGTCATTAGAGGTCTGTCCAGGAGCTGTTGTCAACTCTCCACCACTGGAGCCCATCAAACCACTTTTTTAAGGTAGGATGTAAACACTGCTAAATGGTCAAAACATACTGGTCACTCCTCAGTGCCTACAGTCCATATACAGAAACAATTCATCAAGGTGATGATGTCACAAGTTAGCACAGACACTGGAATTTACATATGTGCCTGGAGCTTTGAACCACCGGTCAGTGCTAATACATTGTGAGTGTTAACTCTGGTGGTCAGTAATAATCCAGCGTTAATACTAATCCAATGTCAAATTTAATCAGGTGGTCAGTGTTAACCCAGTGCTAATCCACTGCCAATGCCAATCCCCCAGTAGTCAGTGCTAATCCAGTGTCTGTGCTAATCCAGTAGTCAGTGCTAATCCAGTGTCTGTGCTAATCCAGTAGTCAGTGGTAATTAGTGCTAAAACTAAACTTCCAGTGATCAGTGCTAGTCCAGTGCTGAAACTAAACATCCAGTGATCAGTGCTAGTCCAGTGCTGAAACTAAACATCCAGTGATCAGTGCTAGTTCAGTGCTGAAACTAAACATCCAGTGATCAGTGCTAGTCCAGTGCTGAAACTAAACATCCAGTGATCAGTGCTAGTTCAGTGCTGAAACTAAACATCCAGTGATCAGTGCTAGTCCTGTGCTGAAACTAAACATCCAGTGATCAGTGCTAGTCCTGTGCTAAAACTAAATAGTGATCAGTGCTAGTCCAGTGCTAGAACTAAAGTGATCAGTGCTAGTCCAGTGCTAAAACTAAACTTCCAGTGATCAGTGCTAGTCCAGTGCTAAAACCAACCTTCCCGTGATCAGTGCCAATCCAGTGCTAAAACTAAAGTGATCAGTGCTAGTCCAGTGCTAAAACTAAACTTTCAGCGATCAGTGCTAGTCCAATGCTAAAACCTACCTTCCAGTGATCAGTGCTAGTCCAGTGCTAAAACCTACCTTCCAGTGATCAGTGCCAATCCAGTGCTAAAGCCAACCTTCCAGTGATCAGTTGTAATCCAGTGGTCTTCTGTGTGTAGAGCTCTTGATCTCTGTGCCTCCTCTGTCCGTTCCACACTGAGAGAGACTCTGCAAGACTCGTCTCTCTGTGCCACTCACTCACTCACTCACTCGTTCTCTCACCCCACCTTTCATCACCCCCTCCATGTGTCACATGACTGCACTTTTTACTGCCTCTATATTATTAAATGTTGACAAATATAATGTTCTAGTGTCACCTCTCTCTCTCTCTCTCTCTGTCTCTCTCTGTTTCTCTCTTACTCCACTGTTTTTCTCTCTGCCTGTCCTCTGTTGCCTCTCTCTCTCTCTCTCTCTCTCTGTTTCTCTCACTCCAGTTTTTCTCTCTGCCTGTCTTCTGTTGCCTCTCTCTCTCTCTCTCTCTCTTTCAATAATCAGTGTATCAGAATACAGAACACCATTAAACTGTCCTACAGAAGATTTAAAAGCAGTTAAACTGCCAAAAGAGAAAAGTTAGCCGATCTAAAGTCATTGAGGAGGGTCATACTTCACTTAGATGGGGTTAAAGGTCAATAGGTCAGCTGTCAGCAGCTCACTAAGGAGGACACACTGCTGTTCCTGCTGTGCTGGACTGATTTCTGCTCTTTCAGAAGCTGACAGGTGTTAAGAGTGTGAACGAGTGTGCTGCTAAGAAAGCTCACGTTAGCGTTCAGTAGAGAATTCCAATGTGCTCAGATTCCCCCCTTCATCTAAAATGTAGGTGATCAGCCAAGACATGTTTACTTCTTTAGCTTTAGCACTGGAGCCAAAGCAACTAAAGAAAGCACATCATGCTAGTCTCACAAACCAGACTTCTTACCCTCAGAACGTCTGATGGGTTTCACCGCTCAGTGTAGCCAAGAACAAAGAAAAGGTCTGCAAATCTGACTGATTTGCAAAAGAACCAACCATAATCTGTAAATTTGGGTGACTTGTAAGGACGTGCAATTCATAACAGAGCTACATCAAAAACAGTGCTACTAGCCCTGGCTGCTGGAACAATAGGGGCAAGCTGGCATTTGACCCCCTGGTTTGACTATGACTTTTTGAATGGGCTCATGGTGGCTATCTGTGAAGACTGTAGCCTCTTTCTACAGGCCCCCTAGTGGCCATTCCACCTGTGGAATAGAAACCAACTCTGACATTTTTAGCTAATATAAAGTGTCCCTTTTACCAAATTAACTAGGACACTGTTGTCTCTCTTTATTGGCTCTCTATGACTCTGTGTTGAGCTGCTAGCGGGCAATGAGGGTGACTGTATTGTGTTTCTGTGAATACAATTCACACCTCTCCAACTACCACAATAAAAATAACATTTAAAAATACAAGAATAACAAAGCTTTATAAGCTTTGACTTCCTTGCTCAGATACAAAGATCACTTCCAGTTTTGTAACCAAACATTTATACTGAAATAAGAAAAAAATCACAGGTCATCTGAGGGTCCGCCAAACAGGCACAGATTGCATTTTTATTGGGTTTAAAATGTGAGAAAGGGTTAAATAACTGTGTGTGAGGTGCCGCTAAATGAGGTTCAGAAGGGTAAAAGGAGAAAACAGAGAAGATCAAGAGAAAAGCCTGGTGGCTTTGTTTTCTTTAATATTCTTTAATATGTTCAATATCATGAGACCCTCATAGAGACATCATGGGCTTTAATTCAGGCCATTAGCTCTGCTTCCACACACAGGATCACATTCTATCCCAAAACACTGCCTCTATTCCATACATATCTCTCTCCTTCACTCTCCAGATCTGCACCAATGGTCAGTCTCTGACCACAGAGCCGCTGCTGTCTGGATATCTTTACTATACTCGTACCGGCACCACCCACACTCCACCATGTCAGCAACAGTGACAATCAGTGATGAATGGTGCAGAGGGGGGCTGATGAACTGTACAACACATGACCTACATAGTGGGGCCATAAAGCAGGTGTTTCTAATAAAGTGGCCAGTGACCATGTAGTAGTCAAGACCGAGACAAGGCAGAGACTTTGTAGTAGTCAAGTCAAAGATAAGACCAAGACTATACAGTAGTCGAGTCAGAGACAATACCCAGACTTTGTAGTAGTGGAGTCAGATACAAGACAAAGACTATACAGTAGTCGAGTCAGAGACAATACCAAGACTTCACAGTAGTCAAGTCAGAGACAAGGCCGAGACTATGTAGTAGTCGAGTCAAAGACAAGACCGAGACTTTATAGTAGTCGAGTCAAAGACAAGACCGAGACTGTAGTAGTCGAGTTAGAGACGAGACAGAGATTATGTAGTACTCAACTCAGAGACAAGATCAAGAT